ATTTTACTTTATGAGATGCAATGATAATTGATTTAACCAAACTAAAACCTAACCAATTAATTTATTTCAAATTCTGTTCAAGTTTATGCGTTGTCTTGCTGGGTTTTTGCTCTCGAACATTCCGCAAAATTTGGTTATTTTACTTATGCTGCTGCCCAAATTGCTTGGCACATTCTGTAATGAACATTCCTCGGCGCTGTTGGTACACAGCAGGAAAATGAGTATTGTTTTGTTACAATTAAATAGAAAATGTAAAAAAGAGACAGAAAAAACAGTAATTAGTATTGTTCAGAATTGTATGTTAATACTTTCCAAACCGCAAGTGTTGAAATACAAACCATTAATTAACAAGCACTATAATTGAACAGCTAGAATTTTTAATTTATTCCGTTTAATGCTTGGAATTGCCTTGAACTAATTTTTTTTTTTTTAGCTGTTCCTCACTTATTTGCTTGATTATTTTGTGAGAATTTTTTTAGGCACGTCTGTTTGTCTTTCGCCAATTGACAAGTGGAAGTGTTCTTGAACTTTTTCACTAGCTTGGCAGGATTGTGTTGTTTCCAGCCTGATGTTCTCATTCGACTTGTGTGTTTCTTTTCCGCCCGTTTTTGGCGGTAAACCATTTAATGATGATATAATACGAGCCAACTAAAGCACCCAAAACACGCATACACAGGCACGTTGGAAAAATGTGGAGGAGCTTACCACGCAAGCGGTGTTTTCCCCATTTTCCCCATTCGGCACCCCAAAAATGTTCTTTTCTCATCTCACAAAATATAAAGAAGGAAAAGGTCGTTGAATGAGGTCAAGGTAGCACTTGCTCCCTCTCTCTTTCTGACCTGAATTTCGCCTCTCTTTCTTTTGTGTACCACCCATCTCCTTTGGTAGGGACAAGAAGATGAAGAAAATGTTTCCATTTTCCACTTCATTTATTGATTTGCCCGTCAGTTGTCAGAAATTATATTATTAAGGCGTTCGCTCCGCTCAGCTGGACCAACAATTTTCCCGTCCCTCCTCCTGCCTTTCGCCGCCCACCGCCCATGCACCGCCCCCCGCCGGCGGAAGGAAAAGCAGGGAAAAAGAAAGACATAAAACACATAACACAAACAAACAAACAAACGACGCTGCGAGAACATTAAATAAACAATTCGAAAATAAACGTAACAACAAAATACAACAAAATTAAGTATCGAAATCAGTCAAGATTTTCGACTAGAATATTCCCTGTAAAACTATGCATTTATAACATATATATTTTTAGAAAGAAAGCTAATAAACACAAAATATAGTTCTTGGGGTAATTAGTATTTCAACTTTTATACCTAGATTGATATTAAGGTTTTTGAATGAGCATACAAATTCGAGTTTTAAGACTTGAATAGATTGCCTATATAATTGTGAAACGAAATCCCCGAAAGTGAAGGAACCCATTATCGCCAGGAACTTGAAATTTCCCAGGGTAAATAAAATGGAAATTGAAATTGTGAGTGACGCCAGGCCAAGACACATGAATGCCTGGGTACATTGCCTTTTCGGTGTGTATTTGTGGGTTGTTTCGCCTTCTTTTTGGTTTTCGTATAAGTGTATGGCTATTCCGATTCCGAATCGGTGGCGGTGGCGGCGGCGGCGGCGGCAGCGACACTTGGCAACAAGTTGAATGGCTGGCACCCCAGCACCCCAAAGGGGCTCTAACCCCCTGATAACTAGGGGACAGATCAATATATGGACAGGTTGGTGTGTTGCTATATAGCAACACCCATATAGCTGTCTATTATGCACACACGGGCGTGATGTTTGTCGAATCCGATCGCATCGGCAATTGGTCTTTGATGTGCGTCTGCCACAATATTTTTCATATTCTCCGTCCCGACTTTCTCATGTTACCCCGGCTTGTTTTTGATGGATTCCGATCGGATTTGTGGGGCGAGAGGTGTGAACATGCGAACATGTGATTCAATTGGGTTAGGTCGGCGTTTCAATGGGTTACAGATCGTGCAATATACATATGTATTTTGTACAACACGTAAACATGGTTCCCCACCATTGGCAAATATTTTTATTGTACATTTCTACATTTTCTAAACTAACCATAAAGTGCCAACACCTAAAAATTTAATTTATCTACAACTCAAAGTTATTTTAAACTAGATCTAGCAAGAACTAAATTGTAAATGTAATGTTATACGTATATTTTTATTAGCCATTTAGAGGGTTTATATCTGCCTCGATCGCCGCCAGCAATCTGATCGACCCATTCCCAGATATACTACGCAAGTGGCTTGTATATAGATCCAGTATATGAATGATTTATCGCTGATATCGCTGTTTGTTTGCATTGTACTTTTGTTTCGCTCTCGTGTCAGCTTTATGTACAGACACATATATCGCTTTTTTTATCGACTTCCATTCCGCGAAATTGATAGACAAAGAAATAAAAATGGAGCCAATACGTATATTCGTATTTATCTATAATTTCTTTTTGTTTTTTGTTTAATGGAGAGAGAGAAAAAATCGAAGAAATTTTATAAATGTAATTGCACGTAATTGGATGCCCCCGCGTGTGTCTTTCTCGGTTTCTGCTTCGTTTTTTGTTTATCGATACCAAGTTGGGCATACGGCCAAGCTATTTATCGGCTATCATATATACATATATCATATGTTTTTCTATATATTTTTTCCTGCCTCTATCTGTGGACAGATATGGAAACGGAATGACTACAGTCCCAAAAATTGTAATGACAGGTGAACACTGTAAACAAAAATAGAGATAGTGAAAGAAAAAGGAAAGTCTATTGTGTAAGTAAGCAAGCAAACTTTATGAAAACTATTATTTATAAATATTTTAACTATTACAATACAGTTTATATATTTATTACACAAATAACGATTGCTTATCAGAATTTCTAGGAATTAAAGTTGGCTTAAAAACAAGTAGGAAAAATTTTTAATAAAAACCCTTTAAAAAAATCTTTTTCCGCTACCAGATAATAATACAAGAATACAGTTTTAAGCAGAACAAAAAAGATGTGATCACGACAAAAAGCGACTTCGTAGTCAGTTTTTTTTTATTGACAATTCTTAACAAATTGTCGCTGAGTTTTACTTGGCTTCGTGTGATAACAATTATCTTGATTGTTTTGCACAACAAACGGTAAAGAATTGAAATCGAATACAACAGAAAAAACCGGGTAAAGTACAGTGAAATAAGAAAAAGATAAAACACCAAATTCGTATCGTGGCAAGTTAAATAATAAAAAAAATCAAGATTGAAGACAGAACATGCGTGTAATGAGCCAAGCAGCGGTAAAAGTATTAAATCGCTGTTCAACAACATCGAAAAGAAAAAGAACAAGACACAGAATTACATCAATCAAAGTTTTTTTTGGGGGCGTTTGCCGACTGGTGAAACATAAAAACAAAAGAACTATCTGAAAACCAACATCAAGAAGATATAGGTAATCAAATGGATTTAATTTAGTTTAAATTTGTTGTATATTTTAATGTACTTTATAGGGTCGGAAATGTATTTATTCTTTGTTGAGTGACAGACAAGGGTATAGAAAATGTTTGAAGTATCGCCTAACCTTCAGTTTAGCTATCGGTACCGGTGCTGATAAGTTGATATAGGTCGTTATATGATGTTTTTCAATATAAATGACGAACTTGCCAACGCCCAACAGTAGCTAAACAGCGTTTTACAATCACTAATTTGAGTTTGTTTTTATTTACGATTCGCCATCAAAACTTAACACATTTTTAGTAATCTACGACCAAATCGGTTTATCTCGGCGTCTATCGCCTTGAGTGACTTGACACACTTGACTTGAGTGTTCCCCCTCTTTTGCGAAAAAGAAACTACTTTGACACTGCAATTACAATGGAGCAATTATAGAGACTAGTATCTGAACAATCTGTTTTTGTCTGTCTATCTGTTTGCGGGTAATTACATGTGTTTTGGCTCAAATGAATATGACTGCTGTCGTTTTTTGCCTTCTTTATGTTGTTTAATTGCGTCCAATGAGATAAAGTTGGCAAACAAAAACGTAATCATGATAAAATATATACTCCAAATCATAAAGGCTATCCAATCCTTTGATTATTCAGGGACATTTCCCCCTGGGTCTTTGATCTTTGACCTTATCGCTTGGGTAATTAAACGCTACTCCACGGGATTCCGTCTGAATTTTTTTTTTTTTTTTGTTCACAAAACAATAACCAAATTGCAGGGGGGCAACCACATTCAAACTCTTTGAATCCACAGCTAGTGATTGGGGAGTTGAACTCGAGAAGTTGAGTTTTAATAGAATTTTATAATATTTTGCTCAGTTTAGTTGAATCAGTCTGTAAAAGAGCAATAACATTTATTGATTGTCCGCGTTCTCCATGCGATAACTTTTATAACAAACAAAAAATTCAATGACGGAAAAAGCTTAATAAAAAAGGGGCGTTAACCCCTTTAGAAGGGGTTTCCATTTTAAATACCCTTCTTAGCTTTAGTTTTCGAGAAAGGGGGTAATAAACGGCATTATATCATCATCGTAGTTTTGAATATTATGATGATCGGCCCAAAGTCGAGGCATATGTCCGAGTACAGTTAGTTAAGTGCTTTTTACTGTCAGTCCAACTGACAAAAAACAAAGGCTTCCAAGACACAAAAAGCGAGAAGAAACAAAACAAAAACCTTTTCAGCTTTAATTACAATGCATAAAAAAATACAGTAAAAACCCGAAAACAGATTCAACTATAGCGTTTCTGTGTTGGACATTGACCGTCAAATGAGAAGTCTGAAAAGTGTAACACGCCTCGTCGCATTTTTAACCCTTCTCCGCCTTGCCCCTTTGAAACCCAAAACGATGGGGTTAAGAGTGAGTCAATGCCAAGAACATTTTATGGTTTAGGCCACGTTTAATTAGAAAGATCTGTGTTTTCCACCTAATACAACATGCAATTCATTTTCTTAATTTACAATTAACCAACATTTTTCTCCTCTTCGTTTTCAGATATTATCTATCGATTTGTGATCAGCAAGAACGAGCAGGAGCAGTAATATAATGGTAATATCGATCGGTACGATGGGCCTCGTGCCGCAGCCACATCGAAAATTTGCAGCGCATCGTAGGCTGTAAAAGGAAAATTCCGCAACAGAAAAAAATATATAAAAAAAAACTGCAACGCAAATTGCAGATAGAGGATAGGATATAGCCGATAAAAGAGGAAAACCAGGGGTGAAGCACCACCCCCACCCACCGCCACACAAATGAGGGTGCCACCAACAGGTTGACCACCTAAAAAACAACAAAACAACACAGTAATAAAAAAGCCAACCGCACGACAAATAGAAAAGGCAATAACAACACAAACCATAAAGCCTCCGAAAGAGACAGAGCGCTAAAAACAAAGCGAGAGAGTGTGTAAACAAAAAAAAAGGCGAAATACAAAAAAAAAGAAGTAAAAAAACCCCGAAAACACCTCTGGAAAACCACTAAAAGCCCGCAACAAAATGTTACAAAACTCGAACGCCGCTGCCGCAGCGCATTCGGCAGCGCAGGCGGCCTCAGCGGTGGCGACTCCGGCAGCGGCGGCGGCAGCAGCGGCATCGGCAGCAGCAGCTGCAGCGGCGGCGGCCGCAGCAGCCGCTGCGAACAATGCAGCTCTGGCCGCCTCCTCCATCCAGCCCAAGCTCATCGTCATCCGCCGGCGGCCGAACCAGGGATTCGGCTTCACGCTGCGCCACTTCATCGCCTATCCGCCGGAAGATGACCAGGCAACATCAGCGGCGGGAGCTTCGGCAGCGGCGGCTTCGGCGGCAACGGCAGCGGCCAACTGGCCACAGGTGAGTGGGGATGATGGCCTTGAAGTAACAGGGCGTACGGTTAAGATTAAAGTCCACGGCTTACAGGATTAAATGAGCAATAATAGGGACAGAATGTACAAGATAGATAATGTATTAAATGCGATTATTAAAGTTTCCAAGGAATAGAGTTTTCCTGCTTTTTAACAAATTATTAACTTGCAACTTTATTTTTTCCCAAAATATTTTTTATTAAGCATTATTATTTTAATTTATTTAGAAGTTAACATTTTTTAATACAATTTACAAAAACTTGACTTAATTGCTCGCAAAATAAGTGCAAGTAAGTTATTGAGAGTGACTGGATGAGTAGGAGGAAAAGAGAGAGAGTTGCGCATGCGCGCCGGTCGGTCAAGCAATTAGTCATCGGACTCTCCCTCTCTCTCTCTCTTTCTACTGATTTTCTCGCTCTCTGTGTCAGCCGACGCGCTCTGCTGAGTTGCTGCCTCAGTCGGTGTCGACGTCGGCGTTTGGCGTTACGTGAGCGCTGCGCACGCGCGACTTATTCAAATTGCCGCTTTTGCTTTTTCTGCTTTCTTTTTGCTTTTCCATTTGTGCGACTGCAATGCCCTGCACGAAAAGTTCAGCAGGGGTATACTAATATTTTAAAAACCTGGATAGCGTTTGCTAAAACAAAAGCTTTTTATGTTAACTTTATAAAAAGGAAAACATATATAAAATAGAAAATTAAATTAACTCTCACTTTATAAATTCAAAATTCATTTTTCAAAACTGGGATATAAAGCTTCGGATAGAAATATGTTTTTTTAATATAAAATTGAATAAATGACACCCTTGCGTATGAGCAATATTGTACAATCTGTGCGTATGAGTGATGCAATTCTTATTTGTATCTTGTAAGGGTGTTAAAGTGTACAGAGATCCTCCCTTCTCTTTCTCTTTTAGTTTTTATTTTTGCACTAATTTGCGTTTTGCTCACTTCACTTTTTTGTGCCCGTTTTATTTTTGTTGATATTACAACCTCTGCTCGCCGCTCTCACTCTCGCGCACTCTCTTCAAGCTCTCTCCTTGTCGCTCACACGGGGACTCAATCCAATCTACACTCTTCTCGCAAATATTGTTGCTTCACGATCGACAGCACTTTCCAAATAAATAGTACTTTATAAGTGTAGGTTTATCTATTAAATTCACTTTTTGTTGGTGATTATTGCTACCAAAGTTAAGTGACTTAGATTTAAAGCATTACCTTTATTTTGATTTTTGCTTTTCACTTTTAAGTTTAAGTTTTGTTTCGTTTAGATATCCTTTGTCAATTATTTATTTTATGTTAGCATTAATGCAAAGTTCCAATATACGATTTAATCAGTTACTAAGCCCTTTTGTAAAGAGCAGACTATTGGCAGGTTTTTAATAACTGATTCTTAGTTTTATCACCACCATTGTTCATCTGAGTAACTATTTTTTTGTTCGGTTTCGTTTGGTGTGTAGGAAGCCTCCAGTATGGCCGGCAGCAGCAGCGGCAGCAGCAGCAGCGTCGGCGTCGCCGGGATCACCGGTTTGGAGCCAACGTCGCCGACGTCGCTGCCGCCGTACCAAGTGAAAGCGATGGAGACCATTTTCATCAAAGAGGTGCAGGCGAACGGACCGGCCCACTACGCCAACCTGCAGACGGGCGACCGCGTGCTGATGGTCAACAACCAGCCGATCGCTGGCATCGCCTACAGCACCATCGTCTCGATGATCAAGCAGACGCCGGCGGTCCTCACGCTGCACGTGGTGCCCAAGGAGTGCGATGTCCTGCAGATGGTAAGCTCCCCAAACGGGGTTATCCCCTTTCCTTGTAAAAGCTAATCGGCAAATCCGATGTAATGTGCATGGCGTAAGAGTAGGTGTCGCAGAAATCCATTCAAGTTCAAAAATCTCTTAGATCACAGATCTTTTAGATCACAAGATACCTTGGAAATATCCGAAAAGTGATGCACCAAAAATGTTGTACATATGTTAATCGGTTTAAAATATCTACGAAGAAAAAATAGGAATTCATGTGACTCACACATTTAAAACAGTGTAAAATATGTATTTCCGGGAAATCGATGTATGTTGGTGTGAAATCAAATCAAATCACCAAATATTTTGAATCATATTTTGTTATGATTAACAAAGTTTTTATGGTAAATTGAGATGCAATCGATCTTTTATTAATCAATGGCACACAATGCTATTGTTATTTTTAAAGAGCTAAATAACAGCTTTGTATAGCAGTTACAGTTAAACATATTGGGAAAAACCCAATAAACAAATTATTGAAAGCATTTTCACATTTTTATAGGAGTGATTGATGAACCATTTTAAAATAAAAATAAGCCTTCGAGAAAAAGAAAAACAAGTTATTTGAATAGCGAATAGTGATAGTAATATCACTTTGTTAAGCATTTAATCATTATTTTGATTGAAAACAGGTAATTGAGAGTGTGACTATTAATAAAATACGCCCACCGAATAATTTGTTATATTAAATTATGATCTCTAACTTGTTTTCCTTCGCTTTGTTTGCTTGTTTTCTCAGCACTATACGAGCATTGCCCACACGCCGGAGTCGAATCGCCTGACCATGTCGACGCACTCGCCCTCGCTGCTGGCCAACGGCTCCCACAAGACCACATTTCCAGCAGCAACAGCCGCAGCAGTTGCAGCGCCACCGCAGCAACATCAGCAGCAGCAACACCAGCAGCAACACCAGCAGCAACAGCAGCAACAGTTGATCTCATATCCCGCTGTTGCAGCCGTGACCACATCATCGCCGGCAGGATCGCCGCACTCGCATCCCAACTCCCATCATGCACCATCCCTGCACGGAGGCAGTCGATCGGGCAGCATCACCAGCACGGCCAGCGCGGGCATCACCATCCTGAGTCACCAGTTCTACCCACAGCAACAGCAACAGCAGCAACATCAGCAACAGCAACAGCAACATCGCCATCCGGCGCTGACTGGCGGCAGCAGCAGCATCGATTTCGGGGACATGGCACATGGACTGCGGCAACATCAGCAGCAGCAGCAACAGCAGCAACATCTCTACCAGCAGCAGCAGCAGCAGCAACATCATCATCAGTTCATGCGGTAAGTCAACAAAATAAATGAGCTCACCTTGGCGAACGGCAACCAGCGAACAGCAATTGACGTCACACACGATGGCAATTACAGCGGATTTTCGGATTTTGGGAAAACAGAAAATAGCCCACAGGTTTACAACGTTTTGAGATCAGCAAACAAGATCTATCTAAATCGAAATCATTTCAATGTTTCCATCCAAGAACCCCGTTATAAAACACTCAACAAATTTTCCAAAATATTTGTGAAACAAAATTTGCTACTCCTAAAGACTTGAGATTAGGGGAAACCCATTTCCAATCTAATCGTGACAAAATCTATAGCCCACGAATGACCAAGCGAAACGATACGTTTTGACTTGATCAATTGGTATTTAATTTACATTTGGCATATTAGGCACAAATCCGCTCGCAAACTAAACAACTAAATGCCACCGGGGGGCAAGACTTGAAAGCCATCGAAGTACTTGGCCAGCGGGACGGCCAAGGCAAAAAGTCCATAGCTCTTGATAAAGGTCCAACAGAAGTGATCGTTATAGATGATCATGAAGGAAGTGCGCACCATTCGCAGCAGTCGAAGCGATTTCTTTTTCTCCACCATAGCGAACTGAGAATTGCCCATAAATTTAGCATTGAGAAGGGTGTATTGTATTGTATTGTACTGTGTTTTGTTGTGTTGTGTTGTTAGGTGCCGGATAACTCACCTGATTACCTTAATCAACGGAAATAAAAACTATATAGATTTTTTTCCAACGAAAATTCAGATGTATGTGCTCTCTAAAACGTGTGCTCTCTGAAAAAACGAAACAAAACTGGTCGGTTGGGTCCCGGCAAGTACACTGAAAATTCAAGGGCAGCTGCGTTGAAAGGAAAACTTAGTTTGGACTTTAAAACATCAGCTTACTCGCTTTAGGACTTGTGAATTTATCAACATCTCAGTTTATTTTTACTAAGAGTCCAAGAATATTCAATTTTATAATTAGAACCACAAAAAGTATATATTTTTTTGACCACTGTCCAGTTGAGATCTGGTGTGATTTATGGTGGCAAAAGTTGAGAGGCGGTCAGTCTTCTCTCCAGTCTTTAATAACATACATAACGTACATATAGTATATGTGTGCATGCATATTGCACATTATTTCACTTTCATTGCCAGCAAAAAATAAACAAAACAAATAAGTGAAAAGCCAATATTCGAAATTGGAAACGAGAAAAGCCGAATGATTAAGAGGGAGGAAAAGATGCAAATGGAAATGGCAGCGCTGAAAATTAAGCTGATGAACTAAATGACATTAACTAACTGCATAATGAACAACGGCGGATGGCGAACAATGTGCATAATTAAAAACAATTGTAAACGAACACTGTGCGAAAGGTTTTTCAGTCCCTGGAGGCTATACTCATCTATATATATTTCCCACTTGGTATTTACATCTCATCTTCTGCATTGTCTTTAGTTTGTTTGTCGCTTTAAAGTTGTCCATTAGTTTATTTGAAAGTATACACGGATTATGATGACCGAATGCCATCGCCATTGAATATTCACCATCCTTCAACTCTATGAAACATATAGAGCAAATCGACAGACGAATATTGGTCGCCATTGTGGCTGCGTCGGGGCCTTTTTGGTGATTTCATCCCCATTTCCCCCTCGAAACCCACTCCATTTCTCCATCATCTTGCGTTCTCATTTCGAGCATTCCTCATTTCAGTCTCATTTCATTCATCGCTCGCCTCTCGCTTATATTTCCATGCATATTTGTCATTGTTTTGCGTCTGTCTGTTCTGAATGAAAATTATTTTCCATATATTTCCCCCGCTGCCTGTGTAGAGATGTGCAAAAATTATTTATTATTTCGTATTCTATAAAAAGTTTTTGTGACGTGAGCGGGAATATAATGTGCAAGTGTTTCCCCATCCCCTCCCCGATTACAAAGGGTTAATCTACAAAGTTATACGAAGGAGAAGCTCGAGCCCAAGCGAAAACATTTAGTTTGATTAGATTTTGTGGTGAAAAGAAATTGAAATAGTTTTTCCCGCCCATCAAACTCTAATTTCATTATCTTCCTTTGTTTACAATTTCTCCCATTCTTTTTGGAAAGTTTGTCACGTTTGCAGTTGGCTGCATGTGCAATTTTCAAATTACGTGAGTTGGATTGGGCAAACTTTTGTGAACACCTAGAGAACTGTCGGTGGAAAGTACACAAACACGTCCATTGGCCAACTGACAATATCCCCAAAGTCGGATCTTTTAATTGTGAGATAACTTCAGAAAACAGACAGCTTCGTAAAGTGATTGATTATTGATTGCTCTTAATGTGTACATTGTGTTTGCTTCATTTCAAATTTGTACCCTTGTCGGTCAATTGTTGAATTAACGAAATAGATTTGTTTTCCTTTAGATTTCGTTGTTTTTTTTTTTTAAGTTAGAATAGATATAAGTAGTAAAGGTTGTACGTAACAAGTCTAACCTTGCTGAATGCTTCGACACATTTATTTTTGCAACCGCATACATTATTGAGAATTATATTTAAATTCAAAACGCAATATCGGACATTTCTCAACCACCGCCCCCTTCAGTCGCATTGCGTATACGCAGCGTGGCTGCACATGAATATGAATAAATAAATCAATTTTTATACACTAACAACAAACCCATTGACTAATCGAGAGAGAAGAAAAAAAAAATGAAGGAAAAGCAACGCAGAAATGGAAAAAATAATAAATAAATAACCGCATAACCTTATGCACACACAACGAGTGTGTGTAAATGGACACCTCGCAACAATAACAATAAATTTGTTGAGCTGCAAAGGCGAATATTTGCTCCATTGTTAAATGATTACGATAAATTTAATTGAATTTTGTATGCCATCCGAAGAATGGGGAGGAAATAATGCCTTCAATTCCCGCAGACATCAAGTCGTCGTCTTGTCTTCTTTTTCCCTTCCGTTTCTTGCGCTTAAAGCGAATGAGAGATTTATCTTTTTTTTTTTTTTTTCTGTTTTTTGAGATTGAGATGGAAATTGAGACGACTCAGATTGAGTTTGAGTTGATCTGGCGACTCGTTGCGGGGGGCTTCATGTAAGTTATTCACTACTCCAAACATTCCAAGCATGTCACTGAAGCAATGTGCACTGAAAAGAATATTACTGGATCTAAAGGGTTTCGAAATACATATTATATATGCCTGATGTACATGCATCGCATTATCCTTTTGTTTGCTTACGCATTTGTACACACTTGATTGAGTGATTGATCGCCTGATCAACTGGCTGATTGATTGATTGATGGCCGGCGAAAATATGTCATTGAAAATGCAAAACTCAATTTTTGTGCGTAACATTGCGAGCACAGTGGATGCGATTTGTTTTCAGAACTATTTTTAAGTAAAAATTGATTTGACAAAGACAATTGAATTTTTATATTATTGTTTTAATTTTTTATTTTTGGTTATTTTATTTGTGATTTAAGGGCAATGTTCTTTTGGCTACTTCTTTTTGGCATTTTACCCACTGTGCATTATCCAAATTTAACTACTTTGCTTTGACAATTACGTATACGCCCTGCGGTTGGTTGGGTGGGATCCACCCCTCCGCCCACTCGGCAAATAAATAAACAAGGCAAGGCCAGTCGCAGGGCGAAGGCGGGGAAAGGGGAAAAGGGTGGAGCGGTATATATACATACGTACATATACATATATATATATTTGGTCAGTCGGTGACTGATAGTGATATAGTGATTCCCACTCCCGTCCTGTGCAAACTGTGGGCAGCTCCCTTCGCCCACTGACCGCCCCTCACTTCTTTTTTATTTGTTTATCTATTTATTGGTTATAAAATACAGTGGGCACTGTATCCAGTCGAATAAGTTGGGTACTTACTTTTCTCCAAAAATCTCCTTTCCCAGCAATAACATTTTATGGTTTGAAGGAAAGAGTGCTTCAAGGCGTTTTTCAACATTCGAAAGTGTTTTTCAAAGACGTATTAATGTGAAAGTGCTGGAAGTGCTGGGAAAAGGGCCTGTTAAGTTTAGTAGCAGAGTGATTACTGTATTGAAATAATAAAAAAAAGGGAATCATGCGAGAGGAGAGCATCAGGCGGTGGGTCGTTCGCCATTCGGTCGCTGCCCACTCAATGGGTCTCTTTCAATTGCTGAGCCTCTGCCGCTCTTTAATACGAATTTCATACATGCATACAAAGCCAATTTTTGCTGTGTGTTTTGTTGTGCCTTTTTTTTTTTATTTGTATTTTCTTTTTTTTTTGTTTTTTTTTTTTATTTTAGTTTAGTCGCATGGACTTTGCGTAGTACTTTAGTTTAGTTGACGATGGCGAGCGGTTCGCGCAGATTTCAGATTTTGTGATACGCGGCGAACGAAGTTTTTGTAATTTTAATTTATTAACTAGCATATATTTCGGAGATGGAATTATTTTCGCCCTGACTGCTTTACACTGCCACAAAAATGTATACGCTACCATTAGTTGGTGCCAAAAAACCTATGCTCATCCAAATGAAAATGATACGTTTCGAGATCGATAACACTAATGAAAACAGGTTAAAAAGCATACTTATTTTTCTTTTAATTTGTGTCGTCTTGCTGCAATTTTTTTTCTGTGCTGCTCTCATAATGATAAAGTGTGAAACAAAAGCGAAACAATTTGAGAACATAACAAGAAACCACAATTTGCAGAAACCTTGTCCGAAAAAAAGTACATTAGATCAAGAGTTCAAGTGTTTTCAATGAGGCGAAGATCAAAGCGTCGAAAGCGACTCCCCCACCAGAAACTATAAAAAACAAAAAAACAAAAAACAAAAAAACAAAGACCCAATGAACGTGACTTGTGTAAAGGTTTTCGCCCTTGAAAAGGTTGCAATCAATGGGTTCCATCAGTTCAGTGTAAAAAATCCCAATCATCATAGAAAACGAGTGTTTCTTTCGATTGTATAAATTTATATTCAAAATGTTTGATTATATTTCTTACTAATTTGAAATAGATAAAAACAAAAACAGGAAATAAAACACTTTAAAAACAATAAAGGGTATAAATATGTAAACAACAAATATTTTGGGGGAAAACAAGGTAAAATTTGTGGAACTTGCAAAATCGAACACCGGGAGAAAATACGAATGTGTTTATAGGTTCTCTCTTTTTTCCCCTTTTCTCAACCAAACCCTGCTGCTTTTGCCGCTTATCAAATGTGTCAACAATTTTTTATTTATGACTTGTTAATTGCAAAGAGTCGCAAGAGTTGGCAAAACGCAAATCAGACAACAAAAAATAATACAAAATGTGCCCACAGTGCACACAACGAGCAGACAATAAAAGCGCGAAATTCCGCACAGAGAAAAGGGAAAGAGCTTATAGCTAACATATTATATATGTGTGTACGAGTATACCCCCTATAGATACGGCTAATTCGCTGGCCGCCTTTTATCGATATGCACCAACAATATGGGATATATATACAATACGTGGGGTGATAAGGGCTTTTGGGGGCTTTTGGAGGGGCGCGATGAATCAATTCGAATTGAATTGTATGCGAGTCACTTGTGTCCAAACTTTTCTGCATCGCACATGCATGCACAGAAAGAAATATTGCACTTACAAAGAATATAAAAAAGATAATGTGTAACACTTGTAGGTTTAATGGTATTTAAAATATAATAACATAACTTATAAATACCATTTTCGCTCGGTGTAGTATCCACATATTGAATATTATATATACAGCTTATGCATAGATAATAATGCCACCGAATACGCGCTCACACACCAATAATCACACATTCATTTGTTGGGGACACGCGCTCCTGATCCAAAGAATTTTTCTTATTGCTACCTGCTCTGCCATTGCACAGTGGTATAAATTGAAATTTTAATGCATTAAAAACATGTTTGATTTATTACTACAAATAATAACGCCTTGTATAATTACTTTTTTTTTTTACTGTATTTTAATATATTAGTAATAATAAGTTATGTTTTTTTAAAATTGAATAGAAAAGTGTGTACCCTTGCCCACTGTGCGCTGAAAGCTAGGCAATGGAAATGTGTGCGTTTCCTTTATACTGCGACCTGTGAAATATGATCCAGGGATAGAAAAAAGGGGGCGGGGCAGGAGGGGGCGTGTATGCCTTCTATTCATTACCTTTTGACCTTGACAGTCTGCCGGGGTTTTGAGCCTCGAGTGTGGGAAAGGCTTTTAAAAGCGAATTGAATTAAGCATCCTGGCGCACACACACTGTCATTTACCATACTATTTTTAGCCCTACACTTTCGTTTGAGGATCTCGATGGAGAACGGGGATGCCCAGGATGCGAGGGATGCGAGCGATGGGCAAAGAAATAAGGACATAGTTAAACTAATTTGCCATTTCTAGTGAGTGAGGCTAAAACTCCATAGGCACTCTTCTTCTTTGTGCAGCCATATGAAACTTAATTATTCCTGTTCCCTTTGCTCTCAGCCACTTGAACTTTATTCCAAATCTAATTTGTCTTGTTTTCCTGCTCCACTGCTGGCCGTCCAGTCGAGTGCCCACTGTGGTGGCGCACAGCCAGCGACACGGAAAAATGTCCAAAGCCTGTAAACAATTTGACGTATCACAAAAGGCTTTTAGCCATGAAATGATGTTCATGTTAAATTCACGCCAATTAAGGATGTCAGCGGAGAATGCAGAATTTTTGACAAACACGTGGCTCTGATTGATAGTTCAAGTTCATTTTTAAATATTTTCTACAGATTTTTAGTGCACTTAAACATTTATGATTTATGTGTGGTAGCATGATTGTCATTTCTTGTTACACAAGTCGGAAAAGCAAAGCATTTTTTTTTCTGCCGAGTGGTGTGTGAAATGTCTCCCTCCCTTCCACAAATGAATATGTAAAACGCATTGTTTAACTTCCGAATTTCCCCTCCGTTTGTTTGTAAGTCATGGTTGGATGATAATAAAACAGAGATTCATGTTTTTCACACAAAACTTTTGTGTCCAGCAGTGACTGTTATAAATGGCGAAGTTTTTGGTTTTCTTTGTTTATTAATATGAATAACACAATGCAACAATGTAGTTAAATGGCTTTCATTTAATAATATTTTGAAGTTACGAAGTTATGCTTTAAAATACCTTCCTTTTAGCCTGCTGCGTCTGATTTCCAAACACCTGTTGAGCCCTCCACTGAATCACTGACTTCTTCGTTTGGCTGCTAGAAATCCACGGGCAATAATTAGTTGCACTTGAGATGTTCAAACGGAAGCAAAATAGAATTCGTTGAGGCACAAATAAAAGTCGTATTTCAAAGTATTAAGAACAGTGAGCTATAGATATGTTTTCCGCAAAATAGGGAATGGAATTTAGCCATAAAATGGATAAAGGGGGGTTGGCGGGGGCGATCGTGATCGGGGTGCGCGATTTCGAATATTGCGCATGCGCCGCGTGTGACGACAGCGACGGGGAGCCCAAAACTGATTTCATTTCATTGAGCGACTGACAAACTGACGATGGCACGTGCCATCAAATTGTGGGGCTGGCGGACCGACTTGGGTCGCACTGCTTTTGGCCGACTGCCAATTTGGAGCTACTGCCGCGTCTCGCTGAATAACCGCCGCTGATTCAATTGACAAATATTTTTGTTTTGCAAAAAAATTAACAGGCCGCAAAGAAAACAAAAAAAAAATGTCTAGATCCGCCAACAGAAGCACTTTTGCTCGATTATTGCGAGGCAAATAGAAAAGCAGACAGTTGATTCGAGTGTTTAACTCCTCGTACGTCAGTGTAAATGGTGAAAATTACTTAAAATATTAACAAAGTGCTGTGCGTTTTTATTATGTGGGTCCGTATCAACAGCTTTGATCTAGGTTTTAGTGACACAATTCGGGGTTTTTAAGTGGTATGTGAATTGTATTTTTAGTGGCCCTGCGATTACTTAAAGCCATGCTGCATTGTTTAGGGCAAAGTGGCAGCTACTCCTTGCCTGAACTGAAAATAAGGTATTAAATATAATAAGTGTTTAAATAGCACAATCAGTGTAACTAATATCTAAATTCTAATTAAGAAATTTATAAATTAAAAGTATAAGATAACATGTTTGTTTTCATTGGTTTTTTATCATATTTTAATATTTTTCTTTGCTTTTCTTTACTTTTGCAGTGCCAATCAGCCGCCAAATTTAACAGTATTATCGGCCAGCTCGGCAACGACCACGCCCACACCCACGCCCACCGCCCGCCAGCCCAAATCGTCGACGGCGCTCAGTCAGGCGTTGTATGCGGCCAGCGGGGGTCAAAGTTCAGCCGGGGGATCGGGTTCGGGATCGGGATCCCTTTCGGGTGGCAGTGAGAACAGCGACCTGATGATCCGACTGCGTGAATCGATTAAGCAGAAGGAGGAGTTCCTCAAGTCGCCGGTGCCCGCCTCCGCCTCCGCCTCTTCCTCTTCTAACTCCAATGGCAATCAGGCGCAATCCGCATCGCCGGCACAACAGCAGCAGCAACATTTGCAGCAACACCAGCAGCACTTCTTTCCCTCGCACACGCCGCCCGGTGGAGTCCAAGTGGTGGTGCCTCCGCCACGCAGTCGCCATCAAGTGCTGCTCAAGCAACAGCAGCAGCAACTGCAGCAACAGCAGCAACTGCAACAGCAGCAACAACATCAAGTCCATGGCTACGACATGTATTATTCCGGTGGCAAGCTAGTGCAGCGATCTTCCACGGCTCCCGGCAGTGTGAATGTGAGCCTCCACCATCAGCAACAGCAACAGCAGCAGCAGCAGCAGCAAGTGCAACAGCAACATCTGCACCACCAGCAACATCAGCAGATCCAACAGCAGCAACATCGCCAGGTGATGATCAACAACAATGCCAAGTACGCAAAGGATTTGGATTATTTTGAGACGTTGCAGGAAACCGGAGTCACCAACAAGGTGTAAGTAGATCAAGAGCTTAATATGCAATTTATACAAAATATTTGAATTAATTTCTGTTTTATTTAAACTCCAGTTTCGAGCGCAAATTGGTATCGCACATGTCCAAGGGCTTCGATCCGTTCAAGCCGCTGTCGATCAACACCAGCGCCATGGAGTCCACCGCCAGCACATCGAACTCCTCGACCACGACGACGGTGAAGAAGCAGAGTGTGCTGTACGAATCCCTGCAGCAGCATCCCCTGGCCAAGTACCAACAGACGCAGCAGCAGCAGCAGCATCAGCAGCAGCATCATCATCAAACGACGATGACCACAGCAACGACCACGGTGGATGGACAGTCGAGCAGTCGAATGGAGCTGCACAAGGCGACGCTGGCGAATGCCACCATCGATCCCGTGCCACTGGGAGCCAACAGTGAGTGCCTTCCCTTCGGATTCCATTCAATTTAACCATCTGATTAGTTACTAAACCACAATTCGTTCTGTTTTACTTGGTGCAGAGTTTGTGGCGCAGTCGGATAAGCCGCCCGCGGGTTCCTCCGTTGCCACCTTGGCGGACATTGCCGAGAGCAGTGGTAGGTTCTCTGATTTAAAACCAAAAGCCACTCCGAAATGGATTGGTTTCTTGTTGAATTAAAATAGCTTCCTTGCTAGTAAATCGCACGCCATTTAGTTTAACCTTTTGTTGAGTAACTGCTTCTCATTATTATTGGTTTCTCTATTTATATATTTAATTGCCACTGTTATATTCATTGTAGCCTTGAATGCATTTTCACCGCATGCGCTCCTTAATGTTAAAAACCAAATTTAATAGCTTTTTTAATAACCAGCGAAAGGACACGCAATACGAAATTATTATCAAGGTCCTGCAAATGTAACAGCTTAAATTGGAAATATTTTTCACACATACATATACTAATTCTTCTAACGCACTTGGCCAGTCTTAAATATTTAATAAGTTTGTGGATGATATAACCCGCTAATTCTTAATCGCCATCGCCATATTTACAGCGGCTGCCATTGTGGATTGTGCTGTGGGAAGCGGCAACGTCGTCCGGCGATTCAAACCACTCTCCTCCAGCTCCTTTGACGAAGGCAAACCGATGCGTCGGATCTCCTATCTGCGGGCCACCAACAACGAGGCGGACTTCAATGCGGAGGCGCCACCAGGTGGCGGAGATGCTGTCGCAACGGCAGGATCATCGGGCTCAGCAGCAGTAGCTCCAGTGGCAACTGCACCCGCTCCTTCCAGCGCTTCTGCTCCTCCAACCACTGCTGCACCCCTGCCCGTTTCGATTCCCATTCCGGTGGCTGCCGTCGTTGAGCCGCAGAAGACGAAATCCCTGGTGGAGGAGCATCCCGATCCGACGTACGATGTGATCGGAGGCACTGGCGGCGGCCACGAGTTCATCGAGACGCCCAACGGACTGGAGGATGTGCGTCTGTCCGCCCACGGAAGTCGCAGGGCCTCCATGAGCAGCGACATGCGAAGCAGGTGCGTTTGGGTTATCCTCTTACCATCAAACAAAACTAAACAATTTTCTATGTCCAATAGCATCCACATTGATGCCGAGTTGAATGGCAAATATGTGCCCAACGAACTGGAGGCCTTCGAAACGGAGATCGAGATCAAGTCATCTTGCATCAACGGAAAGGTGGGTTATCCATCAAAAAAGCGAATTCAAATATTTATGTATTATAATAATATTGATTTTATTTTCAGCGCATGTCCGAGTACCGATCGTGGCGTCAGGTGAAGCTGGAGATCAAGGGCGATCTGCTGCGCATCTACTCAGGCCGCCATGCCAAATCGGAGCACAATGTAAGTCTTGGAAATCTATTTCAAATCAAAGTTCCACCTTCTAATAAGCGATTGGTAAACCACCTCCACAGGTGATAGAACTCGATATTAGAAACTTTAAGTTCTTCGACGAGTCGCTGGATAAGAAGAAGTACTTGATTCGGATGCAGTCGAAGCCATCGCCGAGTGGCGCCCACTTGGCCTCGCTGGGCAACGAGTTGAACCTGGAGGAGGGCCACGACAAGCTGCTCACCTCTTCGGGCAGCAGCAGCGCGAACGAGCCCTCCGCCTTGACCACATCCACGTCCTCGTCCACCTGCAGCAGCGGTCCCTACACGGAGATCCTGTTCAAGACGAAGAGCAGCACCGAGATGAAGCGACTGTTTGGTCTGCTGCAGTGGAAGGACAGCCTGAACTACGATGATAATGTGAGTGTTTTATCAGAGGTAGCTGGAGGTATATACTAACTAACTAACTAATGTATTCCCCTCTAAATAGGAGCACCAGCTGCAGGGCAAACAATTGGCGGAACCGCAGAAAACAGCAGCCAGCGCCAGCTACTTGGATGATGCCCAGGGTGGAGCAGCTGCAGCGGACAGTTCTCCGCTGAGCTCCCATTCGGGTGGCATAGCAGAGGCTAGCGGTGGTCATCATCATGTTTCCGCCTTGCCAGCGGCAGCGGCAATTGTGGCGGCCACCAGCGACTCCATTTCGCCGGTGATGAAGGCGCGCAAATCCTCCTCGCACAAGCACATACCCGACAAGGATCTGGGCTCCCCCAAATCGAAGAACTGGAAGGATCTGCTCTTCCGTCGCGGCGGCAGCGGCAGTGGTGGGGTGTCGCATCACGACTTGGCATCGCCATCGGCCTGTGCCGCCAAGCAGATCGGCTCCATTGGCGTTCCCCTGCGCAGCTGTCCCATGTCGAAGGTGAACGCCTATGTGCCGCATTTGGTGGAGGTCTGCACGAACATCGTGGAGACGAAGGGGCTGGGCGTGGTGGGCATCTATCGCATACCCGGCAACAAGGCGGCCATTTCGGAGCTATCCGAGCTGGTCAACACCAAGGACTTCCAGTTCGAGAGCTGTGCGAGCGACGATCGCTGGGAGGACGTGAATGTGGTGAGCAGTCTGCTCAAGCTCTTCATCCGCAGTCTGCCGGATGCGCTGATGCCCGCCAGCTACTACATCAACTTCATCGAGGCGGACAAGAAGTTCGGCCTGGAGAGGATCGTCCTGCTGCGCGAGATTGTCGAGTCGCTGCCGCGTCATCCGTACGAAACAATGAAGCATTTGATTCGGCATTTGTGTCGCGTGAGCGGCAATTGCGAGGTTAACCGCATGGAGCCCAAGAACCTGGCCATCATCTTCGGTCCGTCGATCATCAGGACGCCGAATGATACGCTGGAAACGGCGGTGAAGGACATGAAGCACCAGTGCCGCATTGTCGAGCTGCTGGTTACACAGGTGGCTACTCGGAAATTGGAGAATTGCATTGCATTTTATATTAATTTTTTTCGTGATTTATTCTAGTATGATTACTTCTTTGAGGGCGGCAGTCTGCCGGATTTGGCGGAGGTGAGCGGCGGAAGTGCCGCCGTGAGTGCCGCCCAGCCGCAGCAGCAGACGCAGGAGGACCAGACGAGCATGCTCCTCCACAACCTGTCCAAGATCGAGCGGATCACCGAGCGGGAGACCACGCGAACCTCGCGATTCATGCCGCAATTGAGGCGGAAGACGCACGGCAAGCGGAGCGCCGTCAACTCGGACACGTACTCCGGCGAGAGTGTACTGGTAAGCAGCGGCAGCTCCTCCAACACATCAACCACCACCACCACCACCCACACAAGTAGCACCACAAGTAGCACAAGTAGTAGCAACACCATCACCACAACCATCAGCACCACCACCATCCAGCAGCGAAGGGCGCAGCGAAAGGCTGTGCAGAGCATTTGCGACCAGGCTCTAATCCTGCTCCTGCCCACACCCGGCTCCCTCTCCTCCGTCTCTCTTCCCTTTCAGTCGCTGGACTACGCCAAGGTGTCCGCCTCGGCATCGGCATCCGCCAGCAGCACAGCGAGCACCTCGAGCAGCTCGACGCTCCACAGCGGCGGCGGCAAGGCGTCCGGTGGCGGTGGCTCCTCCTCCTCGAGCTCCACCACCACCACCAAGTTCAGCTCCTCCTCGTCGTCCGCGTCCTCCACCACAGCGGTGGCCGTTTCCTCCTCCATCTCGTCCACATCCTCCAAGTTGCTGAGTGCGAACTTCAAGAAGCGCAGCACGGGCGGATTCCTCGGCTCGAGATCGTCGCACCAGACGCGCAAGGCCAGCTTGGATGAGAAGGACTCGGGCCAGTCGTCCGGCAGTCTGGGCCACAGTCTGGGAGTGGGCTTGAATCTGGCCAAGGAGCAGCAGCGCAGCAGCGTGGATATCTCCATTCTGCTCACGGACGACGACTCCAGCAGCAGACTAAGCGATACGGGTGAGAATGCCATGAAAAAAAGAGATTAGAGAAGATTAAGTAAGTGATCCCCCGCAATATTCAATAGGTTCCATGTCCCTGACAACCATCACGGATACGCTGGACAGCAAGCTGCGTAATCTGCGCAGCGGTTCCGAATCGAACGATGAGAACGGATCGCCGGAGTTCCCAAAGAACCGACGACACACCTTGGGCCAACCGCTGCACCTGCACTCCGAGAACATTCCGTATGCGGACGAGTCGCCCGAGCGGCTGTTCCATCAGTTCTGCAATCCGCTGGACGCGGCCCCGCTCTCGCTGCACCTGAGTCGCTCCTGCACGGCCACCAATACGATTGGCAGCGGCGGCGACGAGAAGCCATCATCGAAGCAGTTGGCGGGCGTGGCGCCGCTGCCCCCCAGTTTGCTGAAGGCGGCGCACAAGCTGCAGCACTCGGCCACGGTGCCGATACATCAGGGAAGCTCCACGGCGCCAACCAGTGGAGCAGCCACCCCGGTTGGCACTCCAACGGGGAGCGGTGGTGGCGCCGGCGGAGCCATCGCCTCGCGCAGTTCGTCGAGCAGTGTCACAACGCTGACGAAGAGCATACATCCGAGGTTCAGCAATTACATGAGTTACGAGCGCAGCAATGCAGCCACTGCTGGTGGCGAAAGAGCAGTGGGTTCCTCAGGAGGCGGAGGAGGAGGAGGAGCTGCCTCCGAGGATGATTCCGAGGGCTCCACGACCAGCGATCCCAAGGAAAAGCTGCTGCTCGGCGAACGACCGTCGCCGTCGTTTTTTCTCGAGCGCTACAACAAGAAGAGACGCGACCATCGGTTATTTCGAAGTGCCAGCTTCAATTGCCGGAACTACTCCACCCGGCACATGACCACCCAATCCTCTGGCGGCGGCGGCGGCGGGGGAGCGGCGGGAGTATCCGGCGGCGGCGGAGGAGTAGCTGGAGCGGTGACGGTGGGCGTGGCCTGTTGCCAGGCGCTGAGTGCCACCGGGTTGACCAAGGACGAGAAGACTGACATGAACCTGACCAAGAAGCGCCAGATCCAGAACAAGCAGAACCGTTCGATTAAGCGTCGTCACACTGTGGGCGGTCCGCACGACTATTCCGCCAGCAATGGCAGCTGCTCCAATCACGTTCATGGTCACGGTCACGACTTGGCGGCCATCAACTACAATCACCACAATCGCCACCACCAGCAGCAGTTGCTCAAGCTGGGCAGCGCCTCGTCCGCCGGTGGCGGCAGTGGAGCGGCGGCCGCGGAGACGACAACCACGACGACCACAACCACCACGGTGCTGCGGCGTCTGGGGCAATCCAGTGGCGATGCCAGTGTGGCTTTGCCTGGATCCAGTTCGGGATCGAGCAGCAACAACAACAACTCGCCGCAGAGCGACGGTAGCAATGGCAACGGCGGTGGAGCACCCTCGAACGCCCCACCGTCTGGAGTGGTGGTGGTCGGTGGTGGTGTTGGTGTTGGTGGAGGAGTGGGCAACAATAGCAGCAGTGGAAGCAGCAGCAACAGCAGCAGCACCAGCACCACGCCAGCTGGCAACGGAGATCAGGTCCTCGAAGTGGGCATTCGCATCAAGAACATCAATCGGGGTCGCTTCTAAACAAAATAGGATCTCCGAAACTAAAAAGGAATAAGTTTCCAGCACACATTTAAAGAAAACAGCAGGGATCACTCAGATAATTGATTCAACAGTCTGTTGCACTCACATTTTAAAGAACCTGACTAGTAACTCGGTCTATATATCAATCGGCAGATTGCTGCGATGAAGCCACCCGAAAATAGCCTAGACAAAACCACAGTTTACACGAGTATTAAAAAGGTTTAATATAGAAACAAATGCAGAATTGAAAGTATCTAACAATAGTTTATGAAAAACACAATTGGTAGACACCGATTTTAAAACAAAACAAAAGTTTAAAAGAATGTTAACCAGAGTAAAGTTGCTAAAAAGAAAAACAATTTGAGGAAGCAAAAGTAATTTTTGGGAATTTTATGTGGCACTTAAAAAGAAATCAAATAGAATTTTAAATCCAAAGTTCTGGTGGCAAAGCTACTTGAGGAGTCTAAAAATTACTTTGTGCTGCTGAGATTCTGTGAAAATAGTCACCACAATCTATATTACTATACATATATGTATCTATATCAATGTGCAGTTGCAAAGTTGTGTCCGAATTCCATCGGCAAACAAACCAACAGAGCAGTTAAAATACGTATTTATCACATTATCTATCACGATATATTATATATTCATGTGCAGACCCCCATGGAGTTGTGTTTGGTAATACGAAAAAACTGACAAACTGCAAAGAATATTGTATTTAAAAAGTAGACCAACCATAATACACAGTGCGTTCATAGAGAACTTAAAATACTTAGTTGGCAAAGATCTGAGATCGAATTGCTTAATACACTGCAAGAAAAGGTACAACTCCCAGGGAAAAACAAATCTTAACAACGCAACGCAGAAAAACAATCTTAGATGAAAAAAACTATTCGAGGGCAGGAAGTAATTTATTCGCACACACAAAATACACAAAACACACAAATTAAATGGGAACCAAGCAAGGATCTGGAATTAGACAGAGACAGAAAGAGATATATGTAGCGACAGACAGAGAAAGATATATATAGAGAAAGGGGGATAAAAAGATAGAGAAAGAGAGAGAGAGAGAGAACTATTTTGTAAAACGTATACAACACAACACAGAAGAAAAATCGCATAAATAACCACCTAATGTATAGGAACAATCAAAAGTGTCGCCTGTCCGGGAATTCAGACGAGTCCCTCTGCCAACTAAGTTGTGCTAATTGTCCTTGAAGTGGATCACTTATTCGTTTAGTTTGTACATTTGCGTTTTATTTTTTTCTGTGTACCTGTGTACCTGCTGTAAAACAAAGTGGAGGAAAAAAACAGAACCCAATTTTGGTGCCTTAAATTGTTTGCTTTAAATTTTGGAATACATTTTTTCACCCACGTTTTGTAAACTCCTTTTTTTTTTTGATATGCAAAATTTTATATTTATTGGCGGTGCTGTAGGAAATGCATGATATGATAGGTGCAGCTGAAAAGCTATATAGTAGAGAAATATATACATATATTCCGCACACACAAGCTGACGTCCAGAGACAGGCGACCAGAAGGACACCACGTTTGATTGATAACGCGACTATATGTTTACCATATAACGCACGAGAAACGGCATAAATTTACATTTACATATATAATATAATATATATATATTTTTGTGTAGTTTGTATATGATTTTATATGATTTAGGTTTGTCGAAAAGTGGAACGCATAAATATACATGCAAGTATATATGATTAAGAAATTAGATAGTAGTTGTATAGTATTCCTCCCATTTTTTTGCTGTATATACGATTTGATTTTTTTGATTTCATTCACAATTATGATTTACACCACACACCCCCCTAAAAAAAGAGGATATAATATATAAAGGATTATATATTTTGTATGCATTTTGTTTTGTTACCCGAAGGCAGAAACAAATGAGGCAGCAGGAGAAAAGTATATAGAAAGAACCCAAGCGCGTAACGTTGCTATATAAATATTATGATTAACTAAAAGGAAATTTTTTGTTAGACTTTAGGTAGTTATTTTTTAAAAAATTGTATTTTCTATTATACATGTATACATCTATATATTTTATTGTATTATGATTTTTTTTTTCAAACAAAAAATAAATGTGGATTTTCTATAATGCTATAAACGACGACACAATAAAAAAGAAACAACCAATATTAAGAATAAAATGTACAAGTATAAACCAGAAACGATTAGTTTGTGTTGCTTATTGTTTACGAATTATGTATAGTATACCCCATAAATGCTAATGATCTATGTACAACAAATGGCTTGGGGCGTTCTAGAGTTCTAGAATGGAGTCTAGAGTTTGGCCTGTGGACCCGTTCCCGAGATCTTGTAGACGAACTGGTGGGCCACATCGTAGTGGGGATTGCAGCTCTGCCGCACTTTCTTCAGCCAGGCTCGGATTTTGGGGTACTTGATTCGCACATCATAATCAGCCATGCCTTTAGATTACAGAAAGAGGAAAAATAAGGGTTATTAAAAGGTATTTGGATTTAAAATAAATATTAAATGGAAGCAACAATTGACAAGTGTTATGGTATTCTTAAAGTTTTTACTTAAAAGTTATGGGTTTCACTTACGTGTCTGTTCAATTTCGCAGGCTGCAAAGATGTCTGCCACGGTGAGCGTGGGTCCCGTGAGGAACTCCTTGCCCTCCAGCCAGACCTCCTCGACAATGTCCAGATTGCGCTCCATGTGCATGCGAAACGTTTCGATCTTGGCCTCCGAGGGAGTGCGTCCGGTGAGGAGCGGCTCCAGCCAAACGGTGCGAAAGTACATGGCGCAGGTGAGACGGAGGGACATGTGCTGCCACTCGAGGAACTCATCGACGCGGCTCTGGTCCACAAAGTACTTGGGGTACAGGTGCTCCGGGATCTTGCCCTTGGCACTCAGGTACCGCAGGATGGCCACGCTCTCCGCCAGCTTGTAGCCGTTGTCGTGGATGCAGGGAACGCGTTGGAAGCGGTTAATCTGCTGCTTGAAGTCGTCGGTCAAGTGCTCGCCTTGGGGGCAAAGACCGTGGTTAAGATAAGATTGCAACTACGAGCGACAAGGTTCGGTCCATGGTGGTTCTTTCAAAACATATTTTCATGCCAATAAATCACATAGCTTAAGATTTGAAAGCAAATATTTGTTTTTTATTTTAATAAGAGCATTATCCAAACAGATATTTTTGAAGTACATATATGACCAGAAATTAAATTATATGTAATTTAAATTGAAGAAACAATATTACAAATATTACTAAATTTCTATAACAAATTAAATGTTAAATACTGATCAAAATTAAATCCATTTAAATTCAGAGTGAGTGATCGTCTAAAAGACATTTCCCTAGACCAACCCTAAAAATGGACCCACCCTGACCATTAGAGTAAACTTACCATTCCGCAGGGCAACCACACACTCCTCAAATGGCATGTTGCTCAATCGAAAGATAATGAATAACGCCCTCGAGGGCTGCGACATCAGGTCATAATAGTAGCGAATGGGAGACGACATCCTCAGGTTTGTTGTCTGTCTGAAGGGAACTGAAAAAGAGTTGGGCTTGCATTAATAAACGAATAGGCACCGGTCCAAAGATCAACAAAGCAAACGCCACCCAAAAACGATACGAAACGCTCCTCAATTGTTTGTGAAAATCCACCAGAACTCACCAAAAACACGCTCGGTGGCCGACTGAGGCTAAACCACTGAGCTCCGACCAAGATCGGAATCGGAATCAGCTGGTTGAGCGAGAAATATATATTCGCAGATAAAAGTGACAAGAGCGAGCTTTACGTTGCGTACGTGCGTGATTAACTGAAAGCTTTGGGCTCAATAGTGATGGGCAAACTATCCATAAATCACGTATACGAATTAAGATGATCGTTAAAAGATATTTTAGCAAAAATCATATACGCAAAACACAAATGGACCGATGTGGAATTTACCTATTTCATTTTTAACTGCAGCATTATTTTTAAATCAATTTTTTAGTTTGGTTATCACAAATTAAAGCTATCGGAACTTTATTTGTTATCCACTTCAATTAAAATCCAAAATGTAAACTTTTCTAATTTTTCATTGTTTTCACACTTTTTTAACTCACCTCTGGAATTTTTAACCTCGTCGAAGGCCAATTGCAGCTGATCCTCCTCGTTGCTGAGTCCCAGTAAACTTGCCAAGAACGACATGGCGAGATCCTAACTTTTCTAAACGAAGCCACCGAATGACTTTCATGCAACTGCTTCATGCTTATATACCCCCAGTCGCGGATGCTCTCCGATCTGGCAGAAAATTCGAATGCGACTGCGATCCAAACAAAAAAAACGAAGGAAATAAGCGCAAGGCGAAATTGGCTCTTAAGATAAGGCGGATTCCCCACTGCGTGTCAGCTAAACTTTACACTCTAAAAAGCTTTAGTAGAAAAGGGTTTCAATTTGCATCGTATTTTTTATAAAAAAATTTCTTGGCATTTCTGTCCGCCTGGTATTTCGTTTTCAGAAATTGCAAATTTGGCTGTCCAATCGGACAACAAATTCTTCTCGGAACTAGGTTGTTTTGGATCTAATGAAGATTATAGACACCAGGTAAACATAATCCGCAGTTGGTTGCAACTGGTAAATTTGAGTTTACCAATTTTCATATCCACCTGGTAGGCGATACGTTAGATACACACAACTAATGCCTAAAATAAGGTGTTAATATTAACTCCACCCAATTGAAATCTTAAACCTGATGCACATTTAACTAAGAGTTGCTCGGTTGCCCTGCTTCTTGTTCAAAGAACCGTCGAGTTCAAAGAACTTATGTGGGCCATTCTTTCATTGATTATACTCGTATTTTTTTAAATATCGTCATTTATTTGGAATGTCTTTAGTTAGATTTCTTTGAGTGCAGCTGCGTTTCATTCATCCCCGTGCCAATTTGCCAAATAATCAATCGAGTTGTTGGCCAGTGGCAACTACGAGTGGCCAGAAATAGAAACTCAAAGGAAGGTCCGTCTTATCGCCAGATAAGGAAAGATTGTTTACTCTTAATTCGGTGGCAACAGGTTATACGTATCGATCAGCTGACGGATCGGGACTTAACGTACGATCCATGATATCTTTCCAACCGCTACGGAAACTCCAGTTATGATTTGGTATATATATCGTATTTGTGTTATTTATTGATTCCATTTCAAACATACCGACGTCATTTGCTTTGTACTTGTATACATTTATACTATATATATATTCATATTCATATAGTGTGGGTGTATATATATATATATATGTAGTCGTATTTGTAATTGAGATAAAGTGGAGCCGAGGTATCGTCTACCTCTTGTTTGTCCGGGGAAAGGTACATTTACAAAGAGTATAATTAAGGTATAAAGATAATCCACAACATTTATACTCGGTGTAGAAGAGAGATCACACAGTGGGGAAAATAGATGCATATACGTACATTGACTTTGCTTTGTAAATATATTTATATAAAAATAAAACGCAATCAAATTAGAATGGAACTCGGTTTGGCTTGGCAGCTTATATGTATATGCTTATACATATATAATATGTAGATACTAGACACACAAGATCCGACTATATGCCGTGATTAGGGGCTTCTTTTAAGGGTAGTTGACTTATTGTTGCCTTGATTGTTACACACAATTGGATATTTGTTCGCTGGTACAGAGTTTTTGTTGCCTTTGGTTTAGTTGGAAGTCGGGTTAGTTTCGGATCAGAACATATTTTCAAATTCTTCTTGATTATGTGTACTTTTTGTTTTTTTTTTATATATTTATCGTGCCAATGCAGTTGCCTCAGATCAAAACAAGATATTATCTGTTTGATTAATTGATATTAAATACTCTTGAATTAAAGAATGAATCATTCTATAACAACAAAAGGTGTTAAATGAACTAACTACTCACAAAAGCGAATAAATAAAATCTGAAACAACTGCCAAAACGCACTTTTTGTGTATATTTTGATAAGTTGATATATACGTGATAATTTCATTGCACTCTCCTGATTAATTCTATATAATATGTGTTCTCTTTATATAAAGCCCACTAAAAACAAGTTTTTTTCGAGTGCAAAGTGTGTAAAACAGATTTCTATACAGTTGTATAAGGATTTCGTATATAAGATTTCAATCTTTTGTTGAGAGTCTTTTGCATTAGCTGCCCCTGTTTTCTGGTTTCCTCTATTTTTTGGGGATATGCGCGAAGAGTTTTTTAGGAAGAGCTTATGTAGACATAGAAATACATTAGGATTACCATTAGGATTACAGTTACAGGTGTTTTCTTAGTGTTTTCGGGTGGCATACAAATCTAGGTTAAATACTTTTCTTTATAGCGAAGACATCGATCGACACACACTTATTGTTTGCTACTTTAATCCGCCATTTCGCTTTGGTTTCTAATTGGATTTTCTGCTATCTTTGGCAAACGAAATTTTCACTGAACTACGCTACGATCTGAATTAACGCTCTATATAATTCCTCTACTTGTTCTCGATGATCATCTGCAGCTGGAGGACCAGACTTCTGGCCAACTGGAGCACCGATTGGGCATTGTGGCGCTCGGCCATTTCTAAATGAAAATTATATTTAAATATGTATTATTATAATAATTATGAATACTTACCATTAAAGAACTTGATGACGTCGGTGAAGTCCATGCTGTTGGAGAGGATGATGTCGCGGTAGGTCTCCAGCAGGGCCAATGCCAGGAAGAGGACGAAGTGGCCGGAGGCGATGTGCTTGGCGGCCCAGATCACCTCCCAGGTGGCGAAGACGTCGTCGTAGACGAGCTCCCTCTTGAAGTCGAGCAGGAACCACCTGTAGCAGAAGTAGAAGTGCGTGTAGTCCCCATTCGAGTCCATCAGGTCGTACATCTCCGAGTCGAGTATCTGTATGAGGGATCTGAAGAGGGATTCATGGATTAGATACACTGATATATATAAATATATATATTCATACCTCATGTTGGCAAAGTGCATGTCCATGGCTCCTCCGCTGGGGAAGTTCTCGATCATGCGCTCCATGAGCTTGCAGAAGCAGCTGTAGCTGAGCGACTCGTCGTCGAAGATGACCAGGAGCGGGGCCACCAGGTCGCACATGCCCTGCATGTAGCCCACGTCCAGGTGCTCCCACACGTACGTCGAGATCACGTTGCGCAGCTTGTCCAGGTTCTCGTTGGCGAAGTACCAGTAGTTCCTGTCGCACCGCTGCACGTCCTTCTCGATCCGATGCAGATTCAAGCCGAACTGCTCGAGGAGTTCGCTCTGTGAAGTAAAATGATTTGGGCGATTACTAAATGACGTATAAATACCTAAAAAATATATGATGCAAAACGTATACTTAATTATGTATACGTCCAGTTGCACCACCTTCCAATTCAGTCTTTCAATTATAGTAGGTTCTTTAAATTCCCCAATAAACAATGCCATACAACTTAGCTTCTCACACTATACACTATACAAAAATTTCAAGGGTTATAACAAATACTCTATACCCTAATAAATTATTTACAAAAATCGTATACTTAATTACGTATACGCCTAGTTGCACCATCTTTCAAATTGAATTTTTATTTTAATTTATTTAATTTTGGGAACTCGCTCAAAAATTATACAAAAATATCTATAAAATATATCTGATCTACTCACGCTGTAGACACCTCCATTGGAGCTGGCTGGCGAAGCGCAGGCGGACTTCGGCTGCTGCAGAGCGTCCAGACTGGGACCTCCTCCTGCTCCACCTGCTGTTGCTTCCCCAGCCTGTTCGCCAACTGGCGACATTCGTCCGCCCTCCTCCGCCTTGGGACTCCTTTCCCAGTGGGTTATGTCCACGGAGGCCTTCGTTATGATGACGGCCGCCGTCTGCTGTGTCTGCTGCGTCTGGGGCTTCACTGCATCCTCGTCCTCCGGCAACTGGAGATCGTCGGCGCTCAGGTACTCCGGACTGAGGACACTTCGTGTGTCGCTGGTTGGCTGCTGGTTTCCACCACCAGGACCCACTGTTTCGTAGGAGGAGGCCGTCGAGGTGGAGCAACTCGGCTGCGGATTGAGCTGATCCTCCAGCTTTCGCTCCTCCTCCTCGGTCTCCTGACTGCGAGACGGATCCTGCTGATCCTTTGGCTTCTCCTGCTCCGCCTCCTCCTCCTCCTGTTCGTCCAGCTCATTGAAGTTATCGCCCTCGTCCACGTGACCCGAGTCCGTGCTGGTTTTCATGGCCCTCGGAATGGGTTTCACACTCAGGTGATTGCCGCTCACCGAAGACTCCGCCTGCTGCTGCTGCTGCTGCTCATCGAACTCCAGATCACCGGGATCGGATATATCCGAGATGTCCTCGAACACCTCGTTCTCCAGCTCGAGATCCGCTGCCCGCACGGTCTTCTCGTTCCCGGAATTGCTGCCGGAACTCAGCTTGGCCACCGCCCGGGCGGTCTTCTCCTTCTCCCGCTGCTGCACAATGGCGTCCACCGCCAGCCACTCGCTCATCGTCGTCTCGTAGTAGTGCTTGCAGGTCTCGTCCTGCTTCCTCCTCTCTTCGCTGGTGGAGCCGAAGGCATAGTGTCCCAGGAGATAGGGCCACACATCCTTGCGCAGGTCGGGATGCACGCCACCGAAGTAAGCCAGGCGGTAGAACTCCGTCGCGTTCTCCAGAACACCATCCACGTTCAAGAGCTCCCAGCGCTCCTTGGTCAGACCCTCCTCGTCGGCTTTCACTGCGGGCAAAAGGATAAGGGATACAAAAACATATAAATAAATATTTAAGTTTGCTACAAGTATATAAGACTTATTTAAAATAACCGAAAACAGTATTTACTAGATAATATCGAGAATATTTACTCAATTAGCAACCCCATAAATTATATCACATATCAAACTGAAAAACTAAATAATATTATTTTAAAAAATGGTATTTAAATTTACCACCAACTTTTAGATAATATTTTGTTAAACAACATTTCAATCCGAGGAAAATTGCTTCAGAGATAACTCATCTAACCTTTTCTAATTGGGTTACCTCAAAATACAGTAAACGAATTGCAAGATAGTGCCATCAACTTACTCTCCGGCGTAATCCTGCCGTGAACCAATCCGGACAGGTGGGTGCGCACCGTGGAGAGGTGGCGGCAGTAGGCCAGCCATCCGTAAAATGCCCTCGAGATGATCTGCCTCCGCATCGTGGAGCAGACCATTTCGATGCTGGTGCTTTGTGCCTGGAGCAATTGCTGTTGCTGCTGCTGTTGTTGCTGCTGTTGCTGCTGCTGCTGCTGCTGGAGGAGCATCGGCGACTCCAACTGGAACTGGTCGATGGAGAGGCTCTTGTTGGAGCAGTCGCTGCTGCCGGTGGTGGAGCAGCTGCTCAGTTGCGCCCGCCGCGGAGTGCTCCTCACAAAGTCCAGGATCGAATGGGTGGCAGCTGCAAATTATCAAGAGGGATATTTAAAAATGTAATAATTTTTTAAGTATATTTGAGCATGTTAAAGGGGTAAATCGAATTTGTGGGATAATACTTGTAATATTCAATAAAATTCAAAGTGAGCTTAATTAAAATTCAGGTCTCTTAATTGTGTAAAAACATGTAAAGGCTTACAAACCTTTCAAACAAACATATTAAGTGTTTGTTTTTAAACAAAAAAACCTCTACAAAATTTGTTATTTACGCAAGATAAACAAACAATAAGCAAACAATTAATAAAAACAAATTAATATAGCAAAAACATATTTACGTTGGTATTTGCCATAAAAAGTATTATTTTTGCACGACAAACATTTGTGGGAGAAAACAAATATTAAACCGTATATTTGTTTTTTTTCAAAAAGCTTTTAACTCTATCAATGTTTTGCATGTTTTCTATTTAACTATATGTATTTTTTTGAAAAGGTTTTTATAAGAAGAAGTGCATGCGCCACCCACCGAACTCCTCGTGGCGACTTTTGCTGACGATGCGGAAGACGTAGTCGATGGGCGTCTCGTCGACGGACTCCATGACGGAGGGCAGGATGCGGCGCCGCATGCTCCGTGGCCAGAGGAACATCTTGCCGATGCCCCGCTGCGACCAGAGAGGCGGATCCAGCTGGCCATGTGGCAGGAGGCCCGTCTCCAGGCAGCTGAGGAACTGCTGCATGTGTCCGCCTTCGGGAAAGTGAATCGGCGGCCTCTGGACGCCATCCTGACCCACCAGGATCACAGTGCCGCCGCTGTCTTCGCCGCGACTCTGGTGACAATGCACATAGACGATCTCGTCCACATTAATATTGAGGGCATAGGCCCAGAAGGCGTCCTTGTCGATGTCCTCCGCCTCGTCGCCGTCGTTGTAGCCATTCATCAGCTGGTTGGGCGTCCACTTGATCGTCAGCGTCTGGATGTGCTGGTGCAGGCTGAGGTATCCCGGCATCGGTTCGGCCACATCCTTCGGCAGCACCTGCACGTTGTTCTTCCCGTAGAGGAGAGTGGCCTTCGCATTCTGATGCAGCGACTCCACGTAGTCCTTGGCCACGCTCGCCGAGGCAATGGACTTGAAGGACCCGCTGCTCGCCTCGTCGGAGCTCGTGTTCAAGCTCCGCTTGAAGTTGATGATCGCCGGGCGGGAGCAGGTCGACGAGGAGCGACGGCACGAGCTGATCCGGTGGCGTTGTACCTGGTTTTTGGAGGGAGAAAATCACATCATTTATATGATGGGTAATTTAAGTTCAAAGTTGATTATTTTTATTTATTTATATTTCCTCTCACCAGTTCATCGGCATGCGGATCGGTCCAATAGTGATCGGCTGTCTTGGCCCTCGTGAACTCCAGAGCACAAGGACCCACCAGCAAGGAGCTCAAAATGGATCCATAGTCCGGATCGGACACCAGGGAGTCCCGGTCGTAGAAGCTGCTGGCATTGCTCACCAGATACTCAATGATTTTGGTGAGTCGCTTCTCGTAGAGCGCCAACCGAATCCACAAATATCTAAAGAGCATTAAAGAAATATACAAAAATAATAATAATTATTCAAGTTGAAGTCATATCTAATTTTACAATTTAAAAATATTATAGAAATATGTATTAAGTAAGGACAAATCCAATAACTCAATGATTTTGGCGAGTCCCTTCTCGTAGAGAGCCAACCGAATCCACAAATAACTTAATAAAAATTAAAGAATATTTTATGAGTGAGTAAGGTAACGTTAATATAGAAATAAAACAAATAAAATAACAAAATTTCAGACTATGAAAACAAAGGTTGGTTGTTAATGTATAATTTTACACTTTTTTTTTTTATATATAAAACTAATTTAAAATTGTAACTAATGGCAAATCGAATAACTCACTTCATGCTGGCCAGCGACATGCTGGAGTTGCTCGCACTCACGCTGATGGAGGCGGAGGCGGAGGCGGTGGAGGAGGAGGTGGCCCCCGCATTGGTGCCGCCGGACATCGAGTTGCTGCTGCTCTTCTTCAGCATCGGCGGTCGCTGGAAGCTGTCGCTGCTGCTGGAGGATCGCTTGCTGGGATCGCTCGCCTCGATCTCCTGCACCATCTTGCTGATGTGCTCCGCCTCCGGACAGCTCTTGGCGATTTTGTGCAGCAGGGCCGTCGTCGAGGAGGTCTTAAACAAGCCCAGGGCCCTTCGCCGGAGTCCCTGGCTCAAGCAGGCCTCCACGGCGCCGCAGAGCGAGGTCACCGAGCTGCTCTCCTCGTGGACGTACTTCTTGGTCACCGCCTCCTCCATCAGCTGCTTCACCTCCTTCTTCACGCTGGCTATCAGCCGCTCCTTGAAGTCGGAGCCATCTGGAGAACAAGAACGTGGTAAGGAGATAATGAGTACATATTAAATAACTAATTCCTAAGTAAAGTATTTTTTCAGGATTTTTCTTATGCTTTCACAAACCCAACAATGATTGATTTTTTCTTTTAATTCAATAATTTTCTTTTTAATTTTGCCAAGGCATCTCCAAATTTTCGTAACCATTTTTCAAATCAAATGATAAGCCATAAAACATGTCAAAAATGTGTCGCAAAAAGTTTATCACTGCCATCATAAAAATGTAGATACATTTAATAGCACTGATAAAATTATCTTATCACTTTTTTCATAAAGGTCATCGGTGAGTGATAGTCAATCAATGCGTAGTAACTTTTTTATACAAAGCAACCCCCAAATATAAAAAAAAATAGATAAGAAAAACGTTTCTATACGTTGAACTTCTTTTGCTTGTAAAGAAGCTAAGAAGTAGCTAAGAATTTTAATTTATGGATAATAAAATTTAAAAGTAAACCCCAAAAAGTCGAAACCATCTTATTTTTGGACTTTCTAAACCAATTTCCTTGACGTGTAAACTTGATTGTTGCGTAACACTTGTAATTTTAATGAATATAAATAATAGTGATGTTTGACAAACCCCCGGCATTACTTTTTGCCAAGCAGGGAATCGCAGGGAAAGTAAACCCCGCCGGGTCTTAAAAGGAAATCACAGTGCCAACGCCCAGTAAACATTGACCCCCTCCCGCACCAAATATATATCCTGTTAGTCCTGTGAGTCCTGTGTGCCCTGAATTTGCTGTATATCCTGGTCGTTCTGCAGTCTGAAATTCAATAAGTCCAACATGTGTCGCCCGTCGCTCTGCGAAATCCTCCTCTCGCCCCAACTGAAATGCTAATGGCATTTGCACTCAAAACTCATGATGTCCTCCGGCCACGTATAATTTCATTTTCATTAATTGTTTTCCATTTGGAGCGACAGCTAGGGGTATTCGTATCCGTGGGTTGCTTTGCCCAGATACAAAATACAAAATACAAACGTACAGTACAGTACAATTGCGGATACACTCGCAGATCCATTCGGATGATGGATGATGAGTAATTGTCGTTGCGAAATGGAAATACATGCAGATCGAGTGGCAAATCCAATGGACAGGCCACAAAACAAGGCCATAAATAAAAGGAATATACGATCTGGACATGGAATGCGTGTAATTAGAAATTCTAGGGGTTCAATTCTACTTCTGATTGGGATTTTGTCATTAGAAAGTGGTGTCTCTATATATTAATATATCTTATCTTTTGTGGAAGAAAAACCTTTAAAAAGAAATTTAATATAATGTAAATTTGAGCAATCTCAGTAATTTGTTTTACAGTATTACACGTTTTTCTTTGTTTGCAAAAGCAAATGCATTTGGTTTGGAAAAAAGCGGGTCAGGAATATGTAATATATTCCGTATAGCCTCATTTGGGATCGTAAAAAGCTTCATCAATTTTCTATCAAATCAATTGCCAAATGGATATTGGTTTTGGGGTTTCCCGGATGCACTTCCCACTGGCAACTCGATGGCCACCGCCCACGGAGCCACGGAGTTCATTATGTGCTCAATGTGGATGTGGATGTGGAAGTGGGGATGTGGGGATGTGGCGATGTGGATGTGGGGATGGACTGGATGGACTGAATGGACTGAATGGACTGGTGGGTGGAGCAGTGGGGCTGTGGCGACAACAAAGTGCCGACTGTCTGGAACGCCGACCGCGTTGTCGCCAGGCCGTGTCCTTGAAGAGGGGGGGGGTGGGGATTGGTATTGGAGGTTGGGGGTTAAGGGGGGGTTCCACTTTGGCGGAGGAGGAGCAACGGCTAGCGAGATGGGTGGCAGCAAAAGGTTGCCCCATTTTAATTGCTGCCTTTTGTTGCAGCATTTTCATTTTGCATTTGACACTTGTTGTTAGTTTCCCCCACTGCCGCGCACTCCCTTCATCCATCGCATGTAATTAGCATTTAAATGGTCACAGCTCGGCAGCCTTGGCAACAAGTTTTAATAACTTTGTTCCATCCGACGGCCAACAAAATGCAAATATGCTGGCGAGAAAGTGTAGAAAGTTCGCTATTTGCTGTTTGCTTTTTGCTGATTTGTTTATTCGTTTGCCTGGCCTTTGTTGAGGGTAAATAATGAACGATACTTGGATAATTGTGCAGTACATTTGTGCATATACAAAATGTAGGGTAAAACAAATTAAGCTACAACTATTTATTTATTTGTATTAAAAATGCAAATAGAGAAATACATATTGTTTTTTTTCTAACAGAAAGAAATACCACTGAGTAATAACAATTTTAAAATTACAATTTACAAATGCCATAGAAAATGTTTTCTGTTTTCTAATTAACATCGCAAAGAAGAAGCCTTTTAAGCTATACGTTTCCCACTGAATAAAGTTGCTTTCTCTTTGCTGTAGTGACCAGCTTTATTGACTTTGGCGCTGGCCACGAACTTGGATGGAAACCCTTTGGGATTGGCCAGCCGGAGCAGCTTCATCAATAGCAAGTGGGCGGTAAGAAGGGGGATGAGCGGGTCACCTCCGCAGTGACCTTGATGAGCTTGATGCTCTTGGTCCTGGCCAGCGATTATTCCACCGGGAGATGCTGTAGGTCAATACACACACAAGCACATAAACACACACACACACACACACACACACACACACAACAAAAGGTGGAAGCCAGCCATAAAAAGCAATCTTTAAAGCTCCCGGCAACAGTAAAATTTGCTCATTATCCACCGCTCTTGCTCTTTATACCAAATAAATACGAAATAAATTAAAGATTGCGTATCTGAGCAAATTAACTGGTGACATTTAATGTACCTTACATTATCCCTTGATTCACTTTTAACCAGCTTTGGCCACCGAAAATAGCTTCATTTTCGACGGCCCACCTGGCGTATGGGTAATCAATCAATCGGGCAGGCGAATGCGAAGGCGAAAGCCAAAATCCTCGAGGAAGCCAAACCCACAAAACTCGCTTTAGAGTCCCCTGGCAAATTAAATGGAAACTCGCGAGCAACAGAATCCAGAAGCTCTAGAAGAAACTTTATCAATTATCCCCAGAACAATCAAGAGCGAAATACGCCGCAGTGAAAATTAATTTCAGTTTCTGCCAAGTTCAGGAAACACGACGGGAAAACAGAGCAGGCGGTGGAAAACCGAGGGGGGAAGGTGGGAGGGAAGAAGAGGCGATTGGCCGGTCCTTCGTTCATGGAAGAAAGTCTTCTCTTCCTGTAATCGTAAATTCATTTGGCCCACCAAATGGCAATTGATGGCTTAAACAGGCTCAATAACCATTTTGGGCAACACACACATACAAGCACACACACACCCAAAGTTGAGCCTTAATTAAAGGGAGAAGAGGTGGGAAAAGCCGGGGGAAAACCAAGGAAAATAGAATGGGATTTGGGATGGGATGTGGTTGGCTATTCGTAGCCGTCAGCATTTTAAATAAAACGTTTCTATTTTCATCACACCAAAATCTTTTGCTGCTCGCTGGTCCGCACCTTTTTCATCCTGCTGCTCGATATATATTTTTTATTTAGATGCGGACTCGGATATAGAAGTTGCAGGGCTTTCCTTAAATGCGCGGGTTTCGTTTAATTTCGGTTTCGGTTTATGCCCTCAGCCATTTTTGTGGCATTTACAAAGAGTTACGACTATTTAAGAGGATTCTTTTATAACCTTTTTTTCTGCTTAAATTGCTACTTCCCAAAGCCATCTACAAAGTTGTTTTGAAAAGGAATATATAGAAGTTTATAGCAAAGTTTAAAGGTTGAAAAAATGGGAGCTCTTGGAAACTTTATTTGCAGTTTATTTCGAACAACGAACAAGCCTTTTAATCTAAAATCAAAATCTAGGCACATTTGGGCAAACGAAAATAACGACTTGAGATGCTATCAAACTGACAACTATGTTTGTAGAATTAAGATGAAGGCTTAATTGGACAAAAGGCAATGGCAATGGCATGCCGACAAAGTTGAGAGTCTGCAACAAAATGAGGCTCAAAAACACTCGAACGTATGGGAAAACTACACTGACAAAATAAGGTAAAACATGAGCAAGGAATTTTTATTTATATTGTCATTTCTTGTACCTTTCCTGAAAATTAAAAATCTTATATATGTTATAATCATTTCATATGAAATTCTTTCTAAGAACCTTTTCCTTGAGTTATTGGTTTATTATACGACATCGTATCGCTTCTCCATCTGTTGTTCCTTTTTTTCGTGGTGCGTGATATTGTGGTGGCTTTGCTTTCAATTCATTTGGTTTTTTGGTTGTTTTGCGTGTTTTTGGGGCTCGCTATCGCACAGAGAATGTCGAAACACCCGCATAAACAGATAACTAAATAAATACGAGTATATATGTGGGAGAGTATGGTGTGTAGTATGTGGGCATGGGGAGAAACTGCGACATTAATTACAGTCTAATGTATTGTACATATTGTATATGTTGGCCCCAACACGCAAACTGCATTAAGTGCCGCTGTTCGCATTTAAGTAGACCGCACTCCAACCCAAGATGAAATCGAACTTAAAGGCAGAGTGCTAATTGAATGGAATCGGGCAAGAATTTAATCCTGAGTGTCCTTCAGTATTCGCTGAGAAAACGGCATTTTCACATGGAAAGTTATAAGCTTAAATACTAAGCTTTCATCAACAACACCAAACCCTCAATATTAACGTTAAAAAAAAAAACATAATTTAACAAGCCATAACCATAAACAAAGAAACAAACTAATGAATTCAAAAACTGCAAATGAGTTCTATGAAACTAGAAGATGTACATATAATGGTAATCTAAAAAAGAAAAAATTGAAAGGAAATCACGGAATGCTTGACATTCCTCCTTTTCAAAAGAGCTTTGAATGCTGTGAAAATCGGAGGTAGATGAGGATATTCCAGGGGAGTGGAGAGAACGCCGGGAAATCTGTGTGGTTTTGCCGCTTATGAAAATACCAGAGGTGGGATTTTTTTGCAGTTAAGTCGCGGCGCTTTTCCCAAAGAGCTGCAGTCGCTCGCCCACGCCGCAGGCAAATGCAATTTGTTGGGTTTTGCAATTAAAATTATATGCGCCGGGCTTCCTTTCACGCGCCCAACGTCCGACAACCCTTCAGCCCTTTAACCCTTCGACCCTCTGACCTCTGAACTTTGCGCTAATTCTCCTTCTGTTCGCTGGCGCTGGGAGAAACTTGCAGCTTTCCTTCGCCGTGGGCGTTTCACAGAGGGTGCTATGCAAAGCAATGTGCACGAGGCATTTAAGCAGCTTACGCAGGACGAAGGATCCGGCGTGAGTTCCGCATGGAAGGGAAGCAAAATAGAGGGGCAGTTGCAATTTCTGCTCAAATAAGCAGGAAAACTCTGGCAAACAAACACAGAGCCAACGGAATGCTTAATTAGGCAGAGGAAAACAATTCCATTTCCCCATTTCGAATGCATCAAGTGCAGGGTTCTCCCTGCACTGCACAAAAGGTCAGAGGGCAAAACATCTACGTACATATATCGTGTGCCAAATGGGCGACACATGATTGATGCACTGACCTTTTGCTTTTGCTTTTGCTTTTTACCCACACGACTTCCCATGGCTCTCGATTAATCTGATTCGATTGCAAGAAATGTTCGGCAAAGTGGAAAGCATTTCGGTGATATTTGATTGAAAGCCGTTCTGGTATTGAATTCTTGAAGCTGTGACTGCAACCCAACTCAAAGTCAGGGTGAAAAGTTTGAAATTGCCCAAGTTGGCGATGCGACATTTTCAGCTGAAATATAAGCTTTGGCATTTTGAAAGCAACTTCGATCTGATGTCCTTCGGCTGTCCATCCAACTATCAGTGCGAAAAGGAATTGCCAAACAATGCGATTTCCTTTAAAGGCATTTGACTGACACTCTGGAATGCTTGCCTTTGAAGATTTTCTCGGAAACTTTTCGGGGGAAAAATTTAAAAAGGACATTGGACAAATTGTTAGGGCTTTCGCTCAAAAAAGAACTGATAAAAAAGGAGAGTGGCTGAGCGCTGGCTGACACGAAATTAATGATGACCAGACAGTGGATTTTAATTTTGAAGGAGACCAGCATGGACTTTAATATTAATGGCACTGACAGGACGCAGGACATGCAGACACACGCACGTCAGGATAACGACTCTGCCGCTGACAGTAAGCTTACACTTTGATGGCTTTGTCATGAAAGACAGAGGAACGTGCCAGCAAAAACTGAAGTGAAGTGATAGAACCGTTGGTACCCTTTACTGTCACTTAATGAAAGTAATAAGCTTGCTTAAATCAACGCCTAAGATTAGTTGTTATAATTATATTACTTTACTTATATTTAGCTTATTTTATTATTTAATTTTGAAGTAGAAATGTCTCCAATTAAATAAGTGCGAATATACCCCTTTGAGGCGCTGAGAAGTAGGCAATACTTTGTGGCCAGTGCTTTTACTCACACGTGTACCACACAGACGCACGAGCACTGACACTTCCACACACACATACACACACACACACGCACGCAGGGCTTTCCATTTGACCTCTGTTACTTTTGCTGTCAACGGGGCGTTAAGTGCACGGTCGTATGTACTTTGGGGTGGACCAACTATTTTAAAATCCACAAGTCACCCTTCTAAAAATGCAACAGGAGAAAAAAATATAAATAAAATTAAACTATTTAATTTATTATATAATCTAAGCCTTCTTTGTTTTATTCAACACCCTTGTTAATGTGTAAGTTGCATTTTAAAGTAACAGACTTCGGTCCACTCTGATTTGCCGCAATGGCTGACATTGAGCTAGAACTCTGGCAAGTCAATCTCATCGAGGCCGCCTTGAGTCCACGGCTCAGAGCTCACGGCTCTTGGCTTTTAGCTAATGCCATAATTGAGCAATTGATGACTGCCACATCATCATCATCAACTTTGCCAAGCGGCCACGTCATCGGGAATAACGCGGAGTGGGTCGAGGTGGGTGCGAGTAGCATGTGGCAAGCAGCAAGTGGAAACTGGGATGTGGGAAGTGGGATGCGGAAAGTGGGAAGTGGCAGTGGCAGTGGCAAGGCCGGCGAAGCTAAAACATAAACAAACGCCCCCGCCTTGACTGCCGCACTTCGAATCGCCGCATTTCGCTGCCGCCACATCGATGCGGCCAATCGAGGTTCATTCATAAAAGTTTTACGCCCGCCGCCGCCTTCGTGTTCATCAGTCTCAGTCGGAGTCTCAGTCAAGCAGCCCCCCCCGCTGCACTCCCATCTGCCAGGACTCCCAGGACTCCGGACTACGGAGCGGAGAATCCCGAGAGCAGAATGACCGGAAAGAACCACGGGTTGTCTGTCTGGCACGGTGGATTCCGATATTAAACGGGCAACACGATAAACACGCAATAGTCGACATTGAAAATAAGTCAGTGCCAGAATCCTAAGCTTTAAAAATAATACCTTGCTTTATTAAAAAGTATACCATTTAAAAAAATAATTAGTATTAATAATAGAAATATTAAATTATATTTTATGGTTTTCAAAATATTATTTAAAACCTAGAGAATAAAACAACCATTTCTAATATTCATAGCAATTAATGTAATTTGTTGCAAAGGTCTATTGCTTCTGATTAACAAAACCCTGCAGAGTCCCCAACAGAAAATTCAGTTTCTCATTCAATTCCATTAAATTCGAAGCACTTGTAATTTGTTTTTAAGCCGAATCAACCATAAAAGATGCTGCGAATGGTGGAGGAGCACTCGCGAGCAAAAGGCCAACAGTCAGGGCCAAAAGCCAGCCACTGTTGGCCAAACAGCAGGTGGTAAAAACGAATTAAATTATACAATAAAATTGTAGAGGCAATTTAGCAGCGTTGCCTGTTGCTTTAATCGAATTGAGAGGACTTGCAGCAGTGGCAGCAATGCGAGTGCTTCATCCTCATAAAAGTCTGCTCATCCGAATGGCACACGGATATAATAAATTGTGCAAAGAAAGGTGGAAAAGTGGATAGGTGGATAGTTGGATAGGCGGATAGGCGGTGCAGGGTAAATTAGCTGGCGGTGCAACACTCGCGTGTCCTTGACTGAAAAACGAGTTGCGTTGCATTGATTGCCGGGGATAAGGATTACCGGGAAATGCGCCTGCCACCCAAGAACGTGCACCCAAGAACCTGCACACCGGAATAAATTAAATGTGTATAAATTTGCATGGAGCTTTCACCGCTTTTCACCGCTTTCCATCGCTTTCATCGCTTTAGCCGCTGCGAGCGGGCGAAGTCACGAAACTCTTCCGAAATTATGAAATATGAATAGCGATGCCCGAATGCAGGAATTATCTGCCTGCCACACGTGTGCTCTTGCCACAATAGGGTGTATCACTAAATGCTACAAGAGTTTTATCTTGTATTATATATAAACAAGAAAATCATCACGAGTGTCGAGCAAAATGCTTAAAGGTTAAAAAAAAAATAAACTAGGAAATAGTTATACTATAGTTTGTATAATTTATATATAAATTAGTTACTAAATTATGTATAATAGCATCTTTCTATGGCTTTATGTTCGCCTGGTACTTCAAAATGCGTTTGTCCCAAACCCATCATCAAAACTTAAAAAAAGTGTTCATAATAAGAACAAAAAGGTAAAAACCATAATTCTGTAGCTTATCGGAATATATTTCTCAGATTTTAATATTTTAAATAGCAAGTACTTTACCAACAAACCTTTTAGCGCACAAAATACATATATGCTTCACACATTCCAGTAATTATAATTAAATGAACTTTTCGACACTGTTTACTTTTTTAAGGTATAGCACGAGCACAAGAAGAAGACTAAGACATGTTAATACGTATTACCCATACGCCCCATTGCCCGTGCTTACAACTTTTACATTTGTGTACTTTTGTGGGGTGAAAACAACGCATGCTTAATAATTCAAGTTTATATTACTCATTCGCCGTGTTTTCCCTACATACTTTGTATCTTAAAATTCTTTCAGGGAGCAATGTGGATTTTTTAGGGAAATGAGAAAGTTAAACAAAATAGAAAAATTTAAGTTTAAGCTACCTGCCTGCAAAGAAGAAAATAGTACCAAATACACCCTGCTGCGGATGGATGGTTTTCGGTGGTTTTTGGGTGGAGTGGGAAGGGGGGAGATGGGGGTAAAAAGGGGGAGGTGATCACTTTTATTACCTGCACTGGTTTGCACCATTTCGCGGCAGAAGAAGCGCTCCGTTGTGGATGCGCGTGGGCGTGTGTTTGGGGCTCGCGGAGATTGCCCAAAGCTTTTCCAACGTAATTCCGCTCCTCTTCACGCGCGCGTAAAATGTATTTCGAAAATTTGTATTTGTTTTGCGTATGCCGACGCCAGCAGAGCGACGCTGGCAGAGAGCAAAGTGTCGCCTGTGGCAGCCTGCGTTTTCCTCAACTTATTCTCGCTTTTCTCGCTTTTGCTTTTGCCCACTTTCCACGCTGTTCAGTGCTTAGTACTTAGTGCTCAATGCTCCACGCTTTGGGTGTTCCTTTTGCCCAACTAGTTGCTGTCCTTTATAAATAATTTGTTTCCCGCCGAAGGGGGAGGAGGGGCAAAGACTTTGGCCTCCCGCTCGCCCATCGGACGACTCACTAGCTCACTGACTCACTGGCCAACTGAACGCTGGCTAACCAGAAAACTCTGTCAACTCAGTAACCAGAAAAAAAAAATAGAACAAGTAGGGCCAGACACTCGGCAGCAAGTCGGAGGTTTTTCCAGGCTTTTTCCCGGGCAGAGTGCCACGTGTTCTCGCGACAAACTCCGCAGCGAAACTGAAGCGGAAACTGAAACTGAAATCGAAATGAAAGCCAAATCGTCGGCAACATCGGCGGCAGCAACATGAGCCTGAGCATCATGCAACATCAGTGCAAGCAGGCGAAGGACTTAGCTTTAAATAAATGATTTAAATAAAATCATTAGCTCTAAAGTAAAATCAAATGAAATATTTGAAAAAATATTTTTAATTATTTCAATCAATTTTAAGCGATTTTATTGTATTAAAAAACTATAGAAATGTATGTTTTGGTTAAAAAACCTAAGTTTTTAAGGAAGCAAACTTTGAGTTATTCAATCTTAGTTTAGTTAGATTTTGATTTAATCAGTTTTCCTGAACAAAGAATTTCATAAAAGTAATTTCACTTCACTTTTCCGCCAAAGATATATTTTTCCCGCTAGAATCCTGCCACCACTGATGTTACAACAGGAGCAACATTTACAGCGGCAACATGTAGGGCGGCAACAACAACAATGACACATTGGAGCTTACATCCCCGCCCCCTTCCCCTTCGCCCTGCATCGCACCTTTCCCGTTACTTTTCGTTTTGGAAGCTTTTCGCACTTTGTCCGTCTCGCTCTCACTTTCATGCGCCACCCACATACATACACACGTGTGTACAGTTGGGTTCAAAATAACAGTTATTAAAGTATGTGATTTTCGTATATTTATAATATAAATAAATATAATTAATTAAATGAAATTTATAAATTAGGAAAATCCCTTGCAAGTTCTTAACAGTTGCTATTAAAATATATACATATAAGATTTTAGTATATAGCCTTCACCTATTATCGTTTTACACATTCGCCATCTTTAGACAAGCTTTTTGCGTCACTGAAATTATCTTTGAGTTCAGAAATAATCAAATACAGAAATTTTAAAAAATAGTAACACTCATTTATAACTATATCCTTGAGTGATGCTGTTTGCTGGCTTTTTGCTGACGTCGCAGTCGCTGGCTGTGTGGCGCAAAATCCAGCCACAAGCAACAGGACAGCATGCCAAAATGCCCTGCTGAGCGGTCCCTTGCCCCCATCAATGCTGGGCATCCCCCTCCTTGAACGGGGGTGGCCCCACCACCCGTGAACACAAGTCTGCCCCAAATTTGGATGAAAACATTTCGGTGTAATTCGTGGCCCGCTGTTGCTTCGCATTGAGTTTGCGCTTTGGCCATGTAACCCGCAACCGACGAGACCCCACACCACCCCCTCCTCCAACCACCCCCCGCTGTATCCATTAGAGTGCTTAACATAACCTGCTCACTGTGGATTCATGTGTACCGAAATATTCTTCAATTATGGTCTCAGGTGAAGGCGAAACGAATTTCAGTGCTGGCAAAGCGGGAATCCTGGCCAGCAATTTTTGGGGCACGAGCATCCAGCTGTGCAGTAGAAATACTTTAGACGAGGGTTGCTTTTAAGGGGGGTGGGGGGTGAGGTCCTGGCCAGCAAATAGAATGCTGCATTCTTTTGAAACTTAGGACTGACCTCACAAACAATACTTCACATTTATGTGGTGCAAAGTGTTTGATAAAAAAAACGACTTATGCAGAACTTAATTAGAGCTTATGGGGTATTTTCATGCTTTATATTTCTAGAGAATGGGAAAAAGTTTTCTCGAAACAAAAAATAACGATGATTAAGATGTGGAGCGCTGAAATGTAGGCAACAATAAATTCTACTAGACCTTAGTTTAGTACAGCGCCATCTATGTGTGAAAATTTAGTACTTGAAAAAAAGGAAGATATTTATTTGGAAATATTTTTCCTTGTTTAGCGTGTAATTAAATTTACAAACTGAATACTTTCTATTTATTTTTGGATATTTGGATAATTGAGTCAAGTTAATTTAAAAAAAAAAATTCAACAAAACTTGTATTCAACAATCCAGAAGAGCAAAAAAAAACGATTTTTTTTCTTGTAAACATTTTACATAATTCCTTTTATTTTGTTTCCATCGACAGGGTCTCGGTAAATTATACATTGATCGCATTTTTTTGGGTTTTGCTTTTATGTGGTTTCGCGCGGAACATAGGATATTCGCAATATTCATACGTATGCTATATGTGGTTACAATCGTGGGTAACGTAATATTCTATATGCTCGGGCTCTATAGGTGGCGTCTCTACTCAGACGGGTATAAATATATATATGTAGCTTAGCTTGATTACGATACAATATAATATAGCGAGAGTTTCTGCCTTGCTCATCGGGTTTTATCTTCACTTTTTGTTTTCGTCGTGGTGGATCAGTTGATCTTTTGTCGAATATGTGTATCAAAAGTGTGGCCAAAATTTTGGTTGGACTCGACTGACATCCTTTATGCCCCCCAATTTATTCCCCAGCCAAGTGTAAAATATATCCTCTCTCTCGTTCTCTGTCTCTTTCTGTTGCCTGCCATCTCGTTCTCATTCGTTAAGTGTATATGTCTGTATATACGTTTTAGCGCTTACAAAAATATCAATATTCAAAGAAGCAACAAGAAATCACATTAAGTGTTTTTTGGTTTTTCGTTTTCCACGTTTTGTTTTTGTTTGTTTTTGTTTTTTGTTTTTTTTTTTTCATACACAAAAAGCGTGCTACTCGCAATAACTTAGATTCCACACAAAGTGTTTGCTCTATATAGATTTATATAAGTTGTATATAAGCCCAGTGGAGGGATTTTTGGTGCGCCTGCACTTACCAAAAAACAACGAAAAACCGGATAGAAACTAGTTAGTTTGCCTGAGAATAGCAACGAATCGGTTTCGATTATAACAATACACGGCTAACACATTCCGTTCTCTATGTTAATGTTTGGGTTAATATTTGTATAAATATTGGTTTAATATATATCTATATATATATCTTGGGTTGCATATTAATTCTGCTAATGCAAACAAACTCAACGCTTCGCAGCCTTCAACTACAATTTTGTAACATATTTGTGAGGGCAATTGTTTCATTCAATTATAGAGATATAGCCGCAGGATCCACCTGTCGGGCAACTCGAATACAAAAAGTTTTATTACCGCTTGCAGCTACAAAATGAAAATAGGAAAAACCTTGTTTTTCAGGACTGCCATTGAAAATCTCTAGAGCTCTTTTTTTTCTAGTTTAAAAAGCGATATCAAATCACTGACTTTGAATGACTTTAAAATAGTTTTGAGCATAGCATTGCCAAGTTTCTATAGTTTTCAATGACTTGCCCTGAATATCTTTTGATAACATATATCTGAAAATATTTACTAAACTGCCAAATCGATAACACAACGATAACAACAGTTGGCCGCAGTCGCAGCCGCACAGCATTGCCATATATATAGACGATATCTAATACAACATCCATATACGAGTTCTATCCCCGGGCTCTCTCTTGAATATACAAAACGTATAAATATGCAACTGCCTGTATATAATATAATCGGTATATGCATGTATATTGTATAAGTATAAATAGTTAATCATTTACGTTGTTCGATTTCCACGTGATTTCTTCTCTGTTTTTTTGTTTTTTTCAGGTCACTACAATTTCCTTAATTTCCTTAATTTTGCTAAAATTTCTTTAAGCGATTCCCAGCCGTTTCCAAAAAAAAAAACCATTGCGGATTATATGGGGAAGCCTCCCAAAAAACCTCAGCAAGAGCCTCAGCTAATTGCAATCTCTAGGGTGCAAGTTATATGGCATATGGTATATGGTATATGGTATATGGCTATATGGCTATATGGTTATATGGCTATATGGTATATGCTTTATGTTCGGTTATGTTTTCCTAAGCGCTTTCTAACTCCGATTCTACGATTCTATTCTTTAGGTGCCAGCTACTTAGTCATAGCTCGCTCAATACTGATCGGAAACCGAGGATTACAGGAACTGAAGATGGATGACTGATGGCGAGGACTCCTCCTCCTTCTCCTTCTCCTTCTCTTTCTCCTCCTCCCACTACTTGTTCTCGATGATGGTCTGCAGCTGGAGAACCAGGTTCCTGGACAGCTGCAATATCGACTGGGCGTTGTGGCGCTCGGCCATTTCTATGCGGAATATATTTTTAAATATATATAATAGTGACAATTGTGAGGACGCACCATTGAAGAACTTGATGACGTCGGTGAAGTCCATGCTGTTGGAGAGGATGATGTCGCGGTAGGTCTCCAGCAGGGCCAATGCCAGGAAGAGGACGAAGTGGCCGGAGGCGATGTGCTTGGCCGCCCAGATCACCTCCCAGGTGGCGAAGACGTCGTCGTAGACGAGCTCCCTCTTGAAGTCGAGCAGGAACCACCTGTAGCAGAAGTAGAAGTGCGTGTAGTCCCCATTCGAGTCCATCAGGTCGTACATCTCCGAGTCGAGTATCTGTATGAGGGATCTGAAGAGGGATTCATGGATTAGATACACTAATATATATAAATATATATATTCATACCTCATGTTGGCAAAGTGCATGTCCATGGCTCCTCCGCTGGGGAAGTTCTCGATCATGCGCTCCATGAGCTTGCAGAAGCAGCTGTAGCTGAGCGACTCGTCGTCGAAGATGACCAGGAGCGGGGCCACCAGGTCGCACATGCCCTGCATGTAGCCCACGTCCAGGTGCTCCCACACGTACGTCGAGATCACGTTGCGCAGCTTGTCCAGGTTCTCGTTGGCGAAGTACCAGTAGTTCCTGTCGCACCGCTGCACGTCCTTCTCGATCCGATGCAGATTCAAGCCGAACTGCTCGAGGAGCTCCACACTGTAGACACCGCCGTTGGAGCTCGCCGGAGAGACGCAGGCGGACTTGGGTTCCTGCAGGGCATCCAGGGAAGCGACCACCGTGATGTCCTCGTTGAGTGGCGACATCAAGCTTGTCTTGCGGGAGGTGAACTCCTCGGTGGCCTCGTCATCGAGAGCGTCCAATGAAGCTGCCTCCGTGATGATCACCGCAGTGGCCGGTTGCGAGGACTCCTCCTCCTCCTGGTTGTCCAGTCTCACATCATCGGCGCTGTGGAACTTGCTCAGTTCGCCCGGCGGCTCCTCCTCCTCCTCCTCCTTCATGTCCACGAACTCGTTGCCCACCGTTTCATAGCTGCTGGTGGATGGAGAGCTCTTGATGCTCAGCATCAGGATGTTGCCACTGCCATCCAGTCCCAGTCCCAGATCGTTTTCGTTCTCCGAGTCGGCAAAACAGTTCTCCTGCAGACGCAGCGGTTCCATGTTGTCGATGTTCTGGAACTCCAGCACCAACTGCTCACTGAGCTGCGGCATTACGCGTTCACTTTTGGTGTCTTCTGCTTCTGCTTCTGCTTCCCCTTCCTGCTCCTCCTCCTCCTCCTCCTTCTCCTCCTCCTCTGGATCTGGATTCTCCTGCTCCTCCTCCTCCTCGGCTTCCTGACCCAATTCGGTCTCATCGAACAGATCCCCCGGATCGGATATATCCGAAAAGTCGTTGTCATCGAAGACATCGTTCTCGCCCTCGTCGAGGATGAGGTTCTCCCGATCCTCCTCCCCGTTTCGTTGCTCCAACTCCAGCTGGCGACTGCCGTTGGTGAGTACCTTCTGGTGGGGATTCGACGAGACTCCCGAGGCATTGGCCGCCAGCCGAGCCTGCTCGGCACTCAGCTTGGCCACCGCCAGCGCCGTCTTCTCCTTCTCCCGCTGGCGCACAATGGCCTCCACCGCCAGCCACTCGCTCATCGTCGTCTCGTAGTAGTGCTTGCAGGTCTCGTCCTGCTTCCTCCGCTCCGCCGGCGTGGATCCGAAGGCATAGTGTCCCAGCAGGTACGGCCACACGTCCTTGCGCAGGTCCGGCTGCACGCCGCCGAAGTAAACCAGGCGGTAGAGCTCCAGGTCGCCGGTCACCACGCCCTCCTCGTGCATCGCCAGCCACTTCTCGCGGGTCAGACCCTCCTCGTCAGCAGCCACTTTTGCGGGAGACAGGAAGTTGTTATTAGAACATGTTATTATACCATATAAGAAATGGTCTTAAGGATACATAAAATATAATATATAAATAGTAATCTATTTCTTCTAATGATTTGCAATTCATATTATCTTGAGATACATTTATATTTGCTTTCTATTGTAGTTCCTTTTCTTCAAGGTTTCCCAGATCATTTTACGTTTATACCTTATATATTTTTATCATGTAAAGAAGTCTCAAACTTACAATCCGGCATGATGTTCCCGTTGACCAATCCGGACAGGTGGGTGCGCACCGTGGAGAGGTGGCGGCAGTAGGCCAGCCATCCGTAGAATGCCCTCGAGATGATCTGCCTCCGCATCGTGGAGCAGACCAGTTCGATGCTGGTGCTCTGACTCGCCTGGATCAATGGCGTTTCGCAGCTGCTCTGGTCGATGGAGAGGCTCTTGCTGGAGCAGTCGCTGCTGCCGGTGGTGGAGCAGCTGCCCAGGTGCTTCCGCCGCGGACTCGATCTTCCCAGCTCCAGAATGGGATGACTAGCCACTGCCAAAGCAGATAAAATATATAGTACATAGCTATATAGAGGTAGCCACTCCACTTACAGAACTCCTCGTGCTGGCACTTGCTGACCACGCGGAACACATAATCGATGGGCGTCTCGTCGACAGTGGAGCCTCCCGCCTCCATCACCGATGGCAGGATGTGTCTCCTCACGCTTTTTGGCCACGGAAACAGCTTGCCAATGCCCCGCTGCGACCAGAGCGGAGGATCCAGCTGGCCATGTGGCAGGAGGCCCGTTTCCAGGCAGCTGAGAAACGCCTGGAGGTGTCCGCCTTCGGGGAAGTGAATGGGTGGCCGCTGGACGCCGTCCTGGCCCACCAGGATGATGGTGCCACCGGTGTCACCGCCTCTGTTCTGATGACAGTGCACATAGACGATCTCATCCACATTGATGTTCAGTGCGTAGCTCCAGTAGAAGCTCTTGTCACCGCCGTCGCCGTCGTTGTATCCGTTCATCAGCTGGTTGGGCGTCCACTTGATGGTCAGCGACTGGATGCTCTGGTGCAGACTGAGGTATCCCGGCATCGGTTCTGACACGTCCTTCGGCAGGACGAGCACGTTGTTCTTCCCGTAGAGAAGCGTCGTGCGGGAGTTCTGGTGCAGCGACTCCACGTAGTCCTTGGCCACGCTCGCCGGCGAGCTGGCCTTGAAGGACCCGCTGCTCGTGTCCTCCGAACTCGTGTGCAGGCTCCGCTTGAAGTTTATGATGGGCCGGTGGGTGGTGGGCGGCGTCCGGTTGCCCGAGCTTATCCTGTGACGCTGCACCTGGAGGCGAACATGATTAGGGATCACTTAGGGATCATTTTTCAATAATAATCTTCAGAAGACTGCATCAAAACCTGCCCTTCAGCAGTGGAACACCTTAAAAGTTTTGTAATGTAATTTCCTAACAAACTGATTACAAGGTTTTTTTTTCACTTTTTTGATGACGATGCTGAATATATAATGAATAATTTTTTATTACCCCCTCTAGTCAAAAATTTGAAAAATGAATTTGCAAAAATTAACCACATTTTTTTTTTATCCGATTTACAAGTGGCATATCTCTATGAATTTGTTATTAAAATATCTATCATCAATTTATTTTTCATTTTTTTATCGATGTTTTGTCATTTTTTGTGATGTTCCCCCTATAAAAATTTCGGAAAAAATGGGTTTTTGGAAAACTGGCCTTTTCTGATTATTAACCGATTTCTAAAAGGGATACCTTATAAGGTTTGTGGTTTAATTTTCCAACACTCTGCATTCTAAGATTTGTCTGATACAGTTTTTGAATTCACTTTCCGGTCAGGGGACACTCACCAGCTCGTCAGCACAAGGATCGGACCAGTAGTGGTCGGCAGTCTTGGCCCGAGTAAACTCCAAAGCACAAGGACCCACCAGCAGTGAGCTCAGGATGGAGCCGTAATCGGGATCGGCGACCAGCGCCTCGCGATCGTAGTAACTGCTGGCGTTGCTCACCAAATGCTCGATGATCTTGGCCAGCCGCTTCTCGTGGAGAGCTAACCGGATCCACAGGTACTTGCCGAGCGGGGCGTTGGCCCCGCCCCCACTGGAACCGCTGCCCGCTCCATTGGAGACCGTGTTGATGGTGGTCACCGAGCTGCTGCTCCCGCTTCCCTTGCTCAAAAGCTTCGGCTTGATGATGCTGTCGCTGCTGGAGGAGGATCGCTTGCCGCTCACCGCGTGCGATTCCTGCGCGAGTTCCAGTTCGAGGAGCCTCCGACTCACGTAGTCCGCCTCCGGGCAGATCTTGGCTATCTTCTGGATCAGCGCCGTCGTCGAGGAGGTTTTGAAGAGGCCCAAAGCCCTCCGTCGCAAGCCATGGCTCAAGCAGGCCTCCACGGCGCCGCAGAGCGAGGTCACCGAGCTGCTCTCCTCGTGGACGTACTTCTTGGTCACCGCCTCCTCCATCAGCTGCTTCACCTCCTTCTTCACGCTGGCTATCAGCCGCTCCTTCAGTTCGGTCTCCGCTGAAAGGGATTCAAAAGAAATAAAGCCATTAATAATGAGAATATTTTATATTAGCAAAGAAAACCTTTATGTGTAACCTTTAGCCATAATTTGTTACCAGCCAGACAAATTATATTTAATCAAAACAAAAGGGTAACCGAAAACGAAAGACCATCCCGTCCACGTAATTGGAAGTTACTTATTTGTCCTCGTGTGGTTATTGATAATCCTTAGACCTTTCCTAACGACCGACATGACACTTCCACGCCCGCTGCTTATTTCCCCACAGAGCACTCGTAACGGAGCCCCGATAAATATGCTTTGATTGATTGCACATGCCGGAGTGCCATCCCCCCAAACCCCAAACCCCAAACCCCGATCCTTTCCCTTCGTCCTTTGCCATCCAAATGCCCAATGTCCTGCCCCAAACTCGTCTGGGATTGCGTTTGCTCTCGGAGTCCTCGGACCGACGTCAATCATTTTGTCATCGCTGTCAATTTTTGTTTCGTTTGCTTCTTTTTTTTTTTTTTTTTTTTTTAAATAATTAGATATTTATTATTGTCGCCGGAATCGTTCAGGACCATCTGAACATAACCGGGCGTTTAGAAGATGGGGTGTGTATGGTACATATGAAGAATGGGCCTAGACTATATACATTAATTTACAATTATTTACATATTTACAAAATTAGTGTACAATACGGGAAGACAAATCGCTGGGGTGGAATCTCTTTAAGCGTCTAAGAGTTTGCGGGTCGACCAGCCTGCTAGCCAGTGGATTTGGGTGACTCGTTAGCCTATCCGAGTACCGTCGGCTGTGTTGATTAAGAAGGTCGCCCACAGGAACAAGGCGTAGATCGTTTTGGATGGCCTGGTTTGTCACGTACCAGGGAAGTCCGGATGCCCGTCGAGCAGCACGTGCCTGCACTACCCTCAGCTTGTTTAGCTGGTGCTTGGATGCGGTGCCCCATACCTCGATCGCATACGTCCATGTTGGCGTAAGGATTGCTTTGATGAGCAGGACTTTCGTCGAGAGCTGGAGGCTTCTGGAGCTCAGCAGCCAATCGAGCTGTCGGAGTTTGCGAACGCACTTGGCTTTGATCGCCGTAATGTGGGTGTTCCATATGAGCCAGTGGTCTAGGTGTACACCCAAGTAGCAGTGAGAGGTGGTGTTTTTAATGGGGTCACCATTGAACGTATGCACGATGCCGATCACTAGTCTTAACGAGAAAGTGACGCATGCCGACTTGCTGCAATTTATAGCAATGTTCCATTGCTTGGTCCAGCTCTCCATCGCACTTAGCCAGTCTTGAACAGCAGCCGAAGCTGTCAGCTGAGACGAATGGGACGCAAGCAAGGCCGTGTCGTCAGCGTAAGTAGCCAGGAGCATACGAGCGTCTGTGGTGGGCGACGGGACTGGCATGTCACTTGTGTACATCGTGTATAGGAATGGACCAAGTACACTTCCTTGGGGCACTCCTGCGTGAATATGTGCCAAGCTGGATCGTGAGTCCTTTACTGCCACAACGAAGGTGCGATCGGCAATAAAAGACCTCAGGATGGCAAAATACGGTGCAGGGAGAAGTTCCTTAATTTTGTACAGAAGGCCCTGGTGCCACACCTTGTCAAAGGCTTGTTTTACGTCAAGGAAGACGCCTACAGTGTGCAGTTTATGCTCGAGTCCGTGGGTGATGTGGTTGACCAGGCGATGGACTTGTTCTGGGCAGCCATGGGATTTTCTGAAGCCGAACTGGTGTTGAGGTATATGGCCTTCTACTTGTGGTAGTTCCAACAGTCGACTAAGTAGAATCCGCTCGAACACTTTCGACAAAGTGGATAGCAGGCTGATTGGGCGATAGGAATCGATTTGGGATAGTGGCTTGCTTGGCTTTGGGATCATGACTATCCGGGCTTGCTTCCACTGTCTAGGAAAATGTCCCAGGCTTAGCATGGCGTTGAAAATTTTTACCAGTGCTAGCACTCCTTTGGGTGGAAGAGCCTTAGCCGCTCGATTGTCGATGCCATCGGGTCCAGGAGTCTTTTTTAAATTGAGCGCCTTTATCTGCAGCATGACTTCTTGCGGCGTGGTGTGTCTGATAGGGCGTGCTGGCTGCAAGGGAGCGCGTAAGAAGTTTGCAACTTCGTCGCGGTGTGAAGCGTCTGGAAGATCGAAGGGAGTGAAGGTGTCAGACAGATGTTCCGCAAAAGCGTTAGCTTTGTCGGAGTCGCTCTTAAGCCAGCGGCCACTGTGGCTTTGTATTGGAGATTGGACAAGCGGCTGTCTTTTGATTCCTCTCGTCAGCTTCCATATCGAAAAATCGCTGCAGTTGTCCGGGCCAGCTCCCTCCAGCAGGGTGTCAATGTTCTTTTGACGCGTTTTCGCTAGCAACCTGCGCAGTCTATTTGTAATGCTAGATAGAAGCTGCTTAGTTGCAGGATCGCCTGACACAATGAATTGCCTTCTGAGGTGCCTTTTCTGATCCAGCAGTGCCCTTGCCTCCGGAGTTAGTAAGGGCGCCCTCCTATTACGTGGGAGACCAGATTGGCGCTGAGGTGGCGTAGCTCTTTGGGCGGCTTCAATAATTGTGGAGGTGAAGCTATCAACATATGCATCCAGATCGCTGCAAGTTATTATTGGTGCGTTGAGCACGGTGTGAGCATCAATGAAGGACTTGAAGGTGGCGACGTTTGCATGTGCAGGTAGCATTTTGGGGACTCCTTTGTGGTGTTGAGCTTCTTCATTTAACAGGAAGAGCAACGGGAGGTGGTCAGATGACAGCTCGGTGAGTAGTCTGACGGAGACCTGCTGCTGTCTGAACCCTTTAGAGATGCCAAAGTCAATTGCACTGGGGGTGGCGTTTGCGCGATAGGGATAGCAGGTGGCTTCTCCAGTAGCAACAATATCCACATTGACATTGGCCAGGACAGAGCTGAGGGTCCGGCCTCTGGCACACATTCTGTGATTGCCCCACCATCTGTGCTTGGCATTCCAGTCGCCTGCAGCAAGAAACTTATCTCCGAGATTAGAGAGGAAAGACGTAAAATCTGCTTCCGTCCACCTAAAAGCAGGAGGGCAGTACACCGAAGCCACGTTAAACCTCCCTCTTCTCGAAGATATCTCGATGGAGACGGCTTGAATATGCTCTTCCGAAAGAGTGAAAGAGAGTTGGTGGATTATGCCTGACTTGACGAAGATCGCTGCGCCCCCCATGTCTCTGGTCGTCCGGATGATCGGCTTTGTGCAAGGTGAAGCCGGGGATCCTGAGGGTGGACCGCGAGCAGAGACGGACTTCTGACAACAGGAGGATGTCAATCTCGTGTAGCTCTATGAAAGCAATCACCTCATTTGCTTTCGAGCTTAGCCCATTGGGGTTCCAGCAGGCTATTTTAAGAACTCCCATTGTGGAGAGTAGAGGAGGAAGAACGCGTCTGCAGGATTGCTTGCATTAGCGTCTCTACCAGAGACATCATCCTGTCGAGCCTCGTAAAAAGCTGTTCCAGCTTGGCATTCAGAACGGCGTTTTCAGTGGAATGTGTTTGAGGGGGAGTATTTTCCATCTCTTTGCGAGGGTGGCTGCTTTGTGCGATGGGTAGGTTTCTTCTGGCTACACTCGCAAATGATTCCTTACCAACGTTTGCAGAAAGATGGGTTGAAGGAATCGTGTTCGATTCTGTGGCTGCTGTGAGCTTTGAATGTTGGTTTTGTTTAAATGCGACTTGCAGATATTTGCGGCATCCTCTGAAGTTTGCCGCGTGAGAGTTGCCGCAGTGAAAGCAGCACCTAGGATCGTCTTTTCCGAGCTTGCACTCCAGGGTAGGGTGGTTTTCTCCGCATTCTCTGCAGATGTAATGCCGTGTGCAGTAAGCTTTTGTATGTCCGTATTCCTGACATCTTTGGCATTGTACAGGACCGGACTGCTTGCGTGGCTTCTCCCAGGACACTATGTGTCTGCAGACAGCAGAGATGTTTTTAAGAAGCTTGTTGTTGTCAGCCTTCTTAACGTCCACGAACCTCATGTTGAGCGGAAGCTGTGTTGCCTTGTTTCGAGGGGTGTAGATGCGCAGAACGCAGTGACCCTCGTCCTGCAGGCACTCAATGATGTCCTCCGATGGGACGTCATGGTGAATGTTTCTCATTACCATGCGAAAGGGTCGGTCTTCTGGCAGCTGGTGGTGGTGGAAGACAGTTCCTTTTTCGCGGAAGTGTCTGGCCACGGTCCTGTAGGCGTCGGAGGAGTTACACTGAACGGCACAGTCACCTGAGTTCAGCGCTTTGATGGAGTAATTGTTTCCAATGAGAGCATCCAGCTCACTGCAGAAAGCAGAGTAGCTGACCACACCAGGAACCATAATCCTTGGGACCTTGGGAGATCGAGCGGCTTGTGGTGCGGCGGCTTGTCCTGAGCTGTTGGATTTTGCCGGCAGCAAAGTTGCGTCGCACTTCTTTGTGGCGCGGTTTGTCACGGCTTGCGAAGTGGAAGGCCCGACGTCCATTTCTTCCTCGTCGCTTAGGGTCATGAAGCGGTTTCCAGAATTGGCGGAGAAGATAGTCTTCTTTTGCCTGACCTTGGGAGAGAGAACGGTACCTGCTCTCTTCTTAGCGGCTCCTTTGATTGGCTTTGCGGTGACTTTCTGCCAGCCTGGAGTGGGGTTGCATGATGGTGTGCTGGTAGAAGCAGGATCATGCCTCTTACTGGATGCAGCGGAACACAAACTGCCATTCGAGCTTGTTGTGAACGTCATTTGAGATGAGATCGAGGACGTCACAGTACAGGTTGTGATGCAGCTTGTGGGAGCCCATCTGGTTGTACTGCCAGCATTTAAGCAGCTGTCCGTTAAACTGTCTCGTAGACTAGCTCGTAGTTCGGCGGGAGTTGCTCCAGCAGCATTCCTCATCGCTTCAAAATCGATGGATTGTTGCTGGTGAGATCTGTCCATTTTTAGCAATTAGCAAAAACTTTACCAAATAAAGTTGAGTAATTGACTAAAATGGGAGATAAATGCTAAGCCGGTCTTACGACCGCCTAGACTTATGCAGGAAAAATGTCCTCTGAAGTGTGTCGCTGTGGCTTAGCTTAGACACAAACCGGTTGAGAGCTTAAAGCTTCAACAGTAGATCGCCTCGTGGAGATCAGTGGACCACCAGCAATTGCCGGGGCCCAGTGTTTGTGAGAAAACTGTGGAATCACCTATAGCTGATTCACTTGGGGATTGCTTACGTGAAGATCGGTAGGACAAATGCAGTCCTACAGCGATGGAACTACCCGAAAGCCTTGGGGTTTTTTATTCAAGTACACTTGATAGATCACCAAAAACACGTCTTACTCTTGCAAAAGCTCGACTTTGCTTCTGTGCACAAAATCGTCCCTATGCTTCAATGCCCCCATATACAAAAAAGAATCGTAATACATAAATGTATCCCGTGCACAGTGCGTATGCGTGATGTACCAAATTCGTAAACAAAAAATTGTCAAATTTATTTTTACTATTTAAGATAAAATTCCAAATAACTATATTAATTAGTTAACTGCATGTAGGTAAGCACAAAATAACTGTTGCGCTATAAAGTAAAAGTGAGTTTTATAAGCAAATCTAGACACAACGCTTAAGTAAAATAATTCCTTTGTGTTTTCCTTACAGTTTTCGAATTTCAACACGCACAGTGGATGTATGTAAACATCGAGGCATTGTTCTATATACAAATATGCTAATAGGATGAAATGGCTACGAAGCGGATAGCTCCACGAAGAAAAATTAGAGACCAAGACGAAGGGCTGGGCGCGCTTCTAATTAGAATGGAAATAAAGGATTTACGCAGCTACGTGACATGGCCCACCAATGCCCAAGATCCAGGACTTGAGAGTCGAGACCAAGGACTTGAAAAAGAAGCAGGACCAAAATCGATAGAGGAAAACTTTCAAAGAAATTGCAACAGTTTTATACAGGATCTGGAAACAATAACGAAGTCTTGGTTTAAACCCAAAATCTAAACTCTTAAATTTGTTTAAAAATATTTCTCCATTTTATTTGAAACTTTTAAAACACTAAAGTAATTTTATTGAAGTTGTAAATCCAACCCCACTTTAAGCAATCACTTCATGTTGTTTCGAACATACCGAACTTTCCCTGTAGAAGCCACATTGAAATGCGCGAGGAGGCGGCAGGAAAATGCGAAGTGCATTCAGGCACATCGACACATGCACTAAGTTGTTTATTTTCAATTCCCGCTGCAATTTGAGTGAAACATTGCGATAAACAGCAGTGTGTTCGCGCGCGCGTGTTTGTGTGTGTGTGTGTGCGTGAAGAGGTGCTGAGTGCGGCTGTGTGCGTGTGTGTATGCGCATAGTAACCTTGACTCGATGCTAAAAAACTTCCTTGAATTCTAACCTACAACAACAGAGCGAGAGGCGACAAAGGGAAAAAGAAGCAAAAGAGAGAGAGGACTACGCAGCGGCAACACCTGCGACGCTACCAATACAGGCGCATGCCACCGCGCACACGTATACACTTGACCCTGAACAACATAAAACAGCTGATGACAGGACGAGCAACAGAAAGGGACGACAAATGAGACGCTGAAAGACGATGCCTCTCTCGTTTTCTCTTGCTCTCTGGTTTCGTTTTTGCAAGAGGGATGGCAAGTATACGTAAGTGTGTGTGTGTTGGTGAGGGATCCCTCTGTAATTTGCTGACAGTAACACAATAACAACAAAGAACGCAATGGGAGGTTCCCTTACTCACTCATACACACACACGCGCGCATCATTAAATCCCATGCCAGGGCAGCCATATTGCTCAAACATATGTTTGTTACCCAACAAAGACGCAACTCACACGTTTGCTGGCATGTGTGTGTGTGCACAGGAAGAAAACAACGAATAAAACGGGGATTTAATAGACCAGAGTCAGTGAAAATGGGATCGCAAATGGGTTTCTTGGAGAAATTGTTTTATTGAATAATTAAACTGTTTAATTGCAAGTAAATATTCACTTTTTATCTACAACCAGGCCTAACGCAAGCCTAGAAGGTTTCTTCAAATATAAAATACAATGCGTATACGTTATAAAAATTACGCATACGTCGTGTTGTCTTAAATCTCGTATAATCAAGTATTCAACTCGTATTTATCATTTTTATTACGGGGCAATAGAATATTATATTGCCTTTTGGTAAAAATAAAGTCCAGTCCTTAAAAGGTCATTAGACTTTGTTTAAATCATAGCTCTTAAAAGTATGCTATAAATCTTGTTCTGCCTCAATACCTTAAGAATGTCATAAATATTAAAAGCCTTATTAAATGGCAGCTGAAGAAAAACCATAGAATACACTGTGGACATTTCTAATACATTACAGGGCTTTAAGATTAAGACCTCCAATTTTCAATATATTATTTTCAAACAGTTCTTTTGCTACAAAATTTTTGTAAAAGCAAAATAAACATGAAACAATAATTTCGAATATTGCAATAGACTTAGACAATCAATTTTGGAACAGTGTGCTGCAGGCGTGGTAAACGTGAGAAAAGAAACCCGGACATTGTGCACCCTTCTCTGATTACAATAATTGAGGTGCAATTTGATGACTTTATAATGAGAGGGCTGCCTGCAAGTGGGGGCGTGGTCCTGGGAAACTAACCGCGCGTAATCGCATCGAGCAAAGTAATGCAATTACCGGTTCCGTTCGGCACCGAAGGTCGCCGTATACGATATGTATATCGTATACCGTATACCGCCAATTAGCTGCGCAGGAAGAAAAGCGAAGACAAACAGCAGATTAATGCCAAATTGACCTATTGGCCGTGAACTTTGCATTTCGCATGGCCACGTAATACCGCTTAATTGGCAGTGGGTGGTGGTCGCTGTTCGGTAAAAATGTCATTCAATCGATGCCAATTAGAGCAGCTTTGCCTGTTATCCACCTGAGTGCAATCTGTTGTCCTGCAACGATTTCCTTTCTGCCTTTAATTAATAACGCGTCGCACAGTTACTGGGAATACGCCACACATTTCGATGCAATTAAAAGGAGGAAATTAATTGGACTTGAGTTAATTGAAAGCAGCTGTACATTATTAGCGAGCGAAATTAATGAAATTATCTGAATAAAAAATGGTCAACTGCTCTGGCAATCCTGATAAGTATTTTTCTGAATACTTTATCGCTTCCAGTTCGTTTTAATAGAAAGTAAAGAAATGCCAAACTTGAACGCACGACAAACTTCAGTGATATATGTCCACTCAAGTTAACTAACTCAAAAAGTTCGAGTCAAAGGAGCTGGACTTAATGTATGAACAAAGGCCATGACATGTGTGTACAAGTTTTTTTTAGATGTGTCCCTAAAATCCAGATTTCATATTCTACATAGCACCCCCAGCCCGGTTTATTGAAGCAATTACAAAAAGTTTCGCTTGCCTTAACTTTCAAAATACAGTGAACAACTTTTTTATATGATTAAACACGACTTTAAAGAATGTGTAACCTTAGAAAAAAAGAACACAAAAGTTCATTTGCTTTGCTGAGTTAAGAGCTTTTGAAACATATATACACAAGTCATTTATTTTCCTTTACTTATCTTAAGATAAGAAAGAGAAGTTACTGTGTGCCTACTGTATTCGTTTATTTTGTGCTCTTTTTCTTTATTTTTCTTGGAGAAACGACGCCAAATCATTTCACTTTCGCACCTTCTACGCATCAATGCCAAGAACAACAACAAAGCACGCACACACATAGACAAAAGTCCTGCCATTTCGACATATGTATGTATGAGTGTGTATGCAGACATATAATTGGTATTTGCTACTGTTGTTGTTGGCAAAAATCATCCACAGAACTAAAAGCTCAGTATAAAACCGATTTTCGCGATTTAGTTTGATTACGAAGCAAAGCGTAATTCCAAGAAACTATTTTTTATAATATTATTTTAAAAGTTTTAAACTAAAAGTGCTCGCATCTTGGTAAAATGGGAAGAAGTAATAATTCGTAGGCTATTCACATTTTCTCTCCGTGTACAAATACAAAGAGGGCGGGGAATGCTGGGGCTAGGACAATAACTGTTTCTCACTCACCGCTGCTGGCGTCGCCTGTGGCGTTGGCAGCGCTGCCGGCGCTGAAACTGTGTAGCATGTTCATTTGTATTGGTGGATGATGGACGCTCTCTCACTCGCTAGCTCTCTTTTTCTTTTTTTTTGTGTTATAATTTTTGGGGCAAATATTTTCTCTCTCTGCCAGCTGCTTGTTTCCTTTTGCTTTTCTTTTGTTTCCTCCCTTTTTCATTTGTTTCCTTCTCCTTCTTCTTTTATTTTTTGTTAACAAAAGTTGTGGTATCAAAAGTTTCCTTAGATTCGTTGTCTCATTTCTTCTTCGTTTGTCTTGTAGTTGTTGTTTTGCTACATTTTTACTACTACGCACGCACACACACTCGCTCACGCACACACACTTATATAACAACAACAGAGTGTGTGTGTGATGATGCTGCTGCCTCGATGTGTTGTTGTTTTCCTTTGGTAGTAGTTATTCACATTTTTGCTGCATACTTTGTGGCTAATCCGTCCTTGTTTCTTTTGCTGTGTTTTCTTAGTTACTGCCCTTTTTTATTAATATTATTTTGTTAGTTTTATTGTTTCTTTTTGTTTATTTATTTTTTGATTATTTTTCTTATTGAGTCATGTATTGTTTTTCCGCCACACAGCAGCTTTTCCGCTCTGTTCGACAGTGTGACCGACCTGTTGGTTTACGCAAGAAAAATCCTATTATCTTAGATAAATAACAAAATCGATGTTTCTCGATTGCTGTTGGCGAACATCGATTGCAAATCAGTCAACCCTGCTCGGTGCCTTTTTAGATGATGGGCGCTTTATTCAAAATGAAGATAACTGATATAACTGTAGATAATACAAATGTATTGATTGTATTTATTTATCAAAAAATGCCTTTCCTAGGCTTAAGACACTGGCAAGAGGTATTTGGTTAATATATATGAATGTGAATGTTTGCGTTTTTTTATACATTAAAGTTACATAAAATCGTAACCAATATTAATATATAATATAAGCAATTGGTGATGGTAATGAAAGAATAGTCAAAAAGTAATCTTATACACATGTTAAAAACATAATTGTTGGATATATATAAATATCCTTCTAAGTAAACAACTAGCTGAGTTTTTGGTATAAAAACTGAAAACTATGTGTTGTGAAAAGATCTTACTCCACCAGGACAATATCGCCACAGGTCATGTGATGTTCCATGGCCTCAGAGTCGATTGAGTCCTTGGCGATTCTCGTAATATAAATGCCAAACCGCATGCGACCACTTTGCAGGCGGGAAATCGTAGTCAACGTTTCCGGCGATCTTTCACCGGTCCTTTGGTTAATGCAGATCATATCACAGCGCTGGCAGGGACCCTCCACCTGAAACTGGATGCCTCCGATGGTGAGGGACTTGTAGGCGAGCTCCTCGAAGGCGCAGCCTGTATCTATGATAATATTGGCTCGGAAACGATCCACAGTCTCGTCGAGGGGCTCCTCGAATTGTAGAGATCGCACTGAAGATCGGTTGACCAGCAAGAACTGGGCTTGATTCACCAGACTCAGCTTCTGCTTAGCCTTGGAGGAGTTTCTCTGGCCCGATTGCCGGAGCAATCGAAGGCCCTCCAAACCAAGGTTCTGACTTAACCACTGGGCCACCTCCTCGCCGCAATCTAAACCTTCCACAGGCTGTCGACAGACCTTGCTGACACACTTGGCCGAATCCGCCGCCTGATCCTCCAGAGAAAGGGGCACTGAAACTGAGGAACTGTCTCCAAATTGCAGCTCCAACTGGTTTTCTTTGATCACTGGCTTCACAAGGCACAATTCCGTGCAGCGTTTCTGGGTCAATGCCATGCCATTCATGTCCACAATCATCCATTCGCGGTCATATTTAAGACCCTGTTCCGTCAACGGCCAAGAATCCTGCCCTTCGACCTTAAATGCAGCACAGGACTTCACCGGATAAATGGCCATTTGAAGGAGTTTCGGCCTTAACAGCTGGACTCGTTCCTTGAGCACAGGCGGCAATTGCTCCGCCTGTTCTTCGATGAATTGAATCCGCTGCTGTGGTTTGGTAGCTAAATAACTAAGGCGCAGCATCTTCAACAGCTCTTCCACATCCTGAATGGTGGTCATGTAGCCGAAGGAAACACGTACCGCTCCCGTCGGCTGACCATCGATCAAGTCAAAGTAGTCACCGCAAATGCGACCCGCCCGTTTGTAAATCGCATCCATGGCGTCTTCATCCAGATCCAGGTAATATTGACAAGCTCCAATGTTGCAGAAGCAACCAGTTCGTAGAAGGATTCCGTGCAGAGCAGCCACGCAGGCGATTTCCCCGAATCCCACAAAGGAACCGGACTCTGTGCGCACATTAAAGGCCACAATGCCTCCCTGGCGGGATTTATCCTGGTAGCCCGCTTTGTTGTACAGCTGGATGAGTGGCTCTCCGTTCGGGTGCTTCAATTGCTTCAACTGGTCCTCCAGGTACTTCGCCAGGCCAAAAACGTGTCTAGAAATGGTATCATTTGTATTATAATAAACGGTGTATAAGGTTTATTATATTACACACCTCGAAATCCTTTCCATGGTGCTGAACTCTTCTGTTTTGGGCACCAATCTATCCAGCGTGCGAAATCCTTCGAGCAATCCGACAATGGAAAGAAATGGCAGGGTGCCGTCTTCGTAGCGCTGGTGAAAAGACTCCCGCTGCTGGTAGTCCATGGCATGGGGATATGCATAGTTGATAGTACCACCTCCAAAAAAAGCGGCGCTTTCCAAAAGCCTCCGCTCCTCGTCGACTGACTAACAAGGCACCAACGCCCGTGGGATAACCGAATATCTTGTAGAAGCTAAGACACACATAATCTGGATGGTATTTTTGCAGATCCAAAGGACTGGTGCCCACAAATGATGCCGCATCAAGGCAAATATAGTAATTGTTATCCACATTCTCTGCCTTTTCTTTTGTAGAACCCCAAATTTGTTTTCCTGGCTTGGACAATCCATGGAGTTGGATTTTTTCGATGGCATCCAAAGGAATTTTGTAGCCGCTAAAGTTGCATTGGGCGGAAAAAAATCACCAGTGAATTTCCGGCTTTATCGTATCCATTCTGAACTATTCCATTTTCTTTGCACAATCCGGCAGATATTTCTTCTTCCTTGAGCATGTAGATACCATTTGCATGGACCCGTTCTCGCATTCCCATCGCAGAAGTGTGATTCTCCTGGCAGAAGTGGAAGTTTCCCGACGATCCAAAGTCAAAATTATCCGCCACCAGGGACAAGGCCGCTGTGGCATTCGCTGTGAAAATCACATGGTAATCCTCGGCGGTTGTGTTGAAAAATTCCAGTACCCTGAAATATGTAAGTAAATTGATTACATACATACATACAAAAAATAAATCAGATTGTTTCTTATTTCTAGTGGAAGTAAAGAAAACAAAGCAAAACGCTATGAGAATTCAACAGATTACGCAGAATGATACGGCAAACAAGTTTTCTTAATTATCAAGTGCGTTATTGTTAAGGGAGTAACTTTATACTCCCTACCAAACTCCGGATCAATCAAGTACATATGTATATAAATAAAGCCCCTTCCTCGCAAGGGCAACCCAATGACGAGTTATACATGGGTATTATTATTATAATTATAATGCCGTGATTTTGGGCCATGGTTGAACTCACTTGAAGCGCACTTGGTCGACGAAATCGCCGGTGAGACGACAGGTGTGTGGATTGCAGATGACGTTCCGCTGCAGTTGCTCCGCGGCGGCTTTCACCTGGTTTTCGGCATATAGAGTAGTGCCCGCATGATCCAGGTAAACACTTTTGTTGTCTATCAAATAGTTAACTTTGTTATCTGTTTACCGTTGGTATTTCACCATGAATTTCCACTTACTGGCCAATCTAGAGAATTCCGCGTCGATGTTCGATTGCTCCGCTGGGGAGAATTCCGGGCGATATAGCGACATGTTGGGAACTGTTCCAGTTGTGTGGGAATCGGGTTTTATTTATTTGCGACCGGCCTGCAATTAATCGCGGCATTTGTTGCGCCATACTCTTTCCGGGGAAAAAAAACATTTGATAGCGTATTAGCTATTAAGTTCGCTTCACCAGAAACAAAGAGTAAGTTTGTATGGTTTACAGCTATTTCATATTTTTTAAATGTTTTACTTGTACTTGTTTGTTAAAATTTGTAAATTAAAAATAAAATGGATTTATTCTAGTTTTACATATATAGAATTAAGATTCTTAGGGTATTTACTAGTTGATGAAATGTTATTTTATTATTACAATCATATGTTTAAGACAGTGTTAGAGAACGTTCAAGGGAAAGTCACTTGTTGTTGTTAAATCCGTTAAATCAACATTTAGCAACACCTACAGCTGTTGATTTTGTCTGCGTTGATTTTCAAAGTTTTTTCCTGGTAATTTCACAATTCCAATATTTTTTGACTGTAAAATGGAGAAATTCGTGCGGGACACACTGTCAAAATGTCTGGACTGTGTGGTCACAGATCAAATGTTGTCGTACGTTTAACAAATTACTAAACAAAATAGTTTTTAATAGCTAAGTGTCTTGCAGAGCCATACTTAACATCAAAGATGACTACGAATTCGATAGTTATTTTGGCAATTTACTCAGCGAGGACAACGAGGAGCACCGATTGTTCCTGCTAAATTGCCGCAGGATGCTTTTGAGTGGAAAACAGCCGCGAAATAATGGCAAAAGTCGCACTCCTACCAAACAAATGCCGCCCACAACGCCGCCCAAGAATCAAAAAGAAAGCCAAGGAGCCAAGGGAAAATCGGGAAAGTATGTGAATCTATATGCCAGTGATGGCCGAGTCCATGGAGACACCATATTGCTGAAGGGCCGAAGGTTCTGCGACTGTCAGGCGGCACAGCACAAGTTGATCAACAACTGTCTGGGTTGCGGCAGAATCGTTTGCGAACAGGAGGGCAGCGGTCCTTGCTTGTGCTGTGGCGATCTCGTCTCCACACCCGAGGAGGAACAGCAGCTGGCCAAGGCGGCCAGGGAGAAGGGTGCCTCAAAACCTGCCACAAAGCAGGCCAAAAAGTCAGCCAAGGAGAACGCCAAGGAGTTGTCTAAAGAGTCCTCAAAGGAGGGACTGGAAAAGGCTCTGGCCCAAAGAGATCGTCTGCTTGAGTACGACAAAAACAGTGAGAAGAGGACCACGGTCATCGATGATGAGCTAGATTACTTTCAGGTGGGTGTGCAAATCAAACAGAAAATATTTATAACATTATTTCATTTTTTAGGAGAACTCCGTTTGGCTAAGCGACGTAGAGCGCGAAAAGTTCGAGAAGCTAAAAAGCGAGATGCAGGAGATGAAGCACGGAAGTCGAATGAATAGAAAGATCCGCGTGGACTTTGCTGGTCGGGAAATGCCAGATGAACCGACAGTCTCTAGGGAGTACGAGCAGCAGGTCATCAAAGAACTGACGGCTGTTTCGAAGGCTTCGGGTGTCGGATCCAACTGGAGTGCGTCTTCAATCACAGGACACTCGGCTATGGCACTCGCACCCAACTTGGACATGGCAAAGCCCCCGGTTTATAGGCCCAGCAAAGAGGCCAAAAGCTGGCCAGCTCCGGCAGCAGCTAGCGATGGACTGGAGAGGATCTACAATCGGGTGCAGGACAAGGAGCTGCTCGAAATGCAGGACATGCGACAGTGCCTGTCGATGCACCAGCCCTGGGCTTCGCTGCTAGTGGCGGGCATTAAAAAGTGAGTCTCTGTTTTAGGAATTTCCTAGATTTTTTCATTGTTTTTTTTTTTTTTTCCCTCAGACACGAGGGACGAGTGTGGTACAGTGAACACAGAGGTAGGTTGTGGATCGCTTCCACTGCAAAAGAGCCACATCCCGATGACATTGCTCAAATGGAGGGTTTCTACAAGATGCTCTACAGCGGTAAGTTTAAGTAACTTGTATTAAAACATGTGAGTAATGTTAAATATAATTCACAGATCCGGATATAAAGTTCCCTAGTCATTATCCTACTAGCAGTTTGCTAGGTTGCGTCCACGTGGAGAGTTGTTTGCCACAGGAAGAATACAGGGAGACATTTCCAAATGGTGAATCAGAAAGTCCCTACGTTTTTGTTTGCACCAAACCAGAGCAGCTGAATTTGCTCCTGCCCGTTCAAGGCGATCACAAGATTTGTGAGTAGTCCTATCCTATCCTGCCTTTTTTTTATGTCTTTATTAATTCTTAATTATTTTTAGATGAACTTCCATTAAAAACTCACACGGCTGCATGTAAAACATTGCTAAGATCCAGAGCCAACAAGGGCTAAGGATCCAGCTTTATCTTCAAACACATTCTTTTAGTTTAATAGCATCAAGGCGTTTTTGGATTCGAAATCTATTTGGAAAAATTAAAAATGTGTGTGTTACAATTGCTAAGAAAAAAACTGAAATACTACTTTATTCTGAATAAAACGTAATTGTAATTGTGAAAACAATGATATCTATAAATTATTTTACTAATTTCTAATATTTTTTTCAGTGCACCGATAAGTTTCCGGTGTTTAAGCGATAACGATACTTTTGCGACAGCTGTTGGCAAAGCGGTACTTTTATTTTTGTTTTGATTACTTTTATGTAATGGTGAAAGTGGAGGTCGAATACTGGTAAAGGCACCGCTTTCAACCACCAAAACAAACAGAAATAACATTAGTTATTATCCTGCAGCGGCACCTGCAACTTTAGCGGGCAGTGCCACTTGCTGCGCGATTTCCTACTGGCCTCTTCCCCCGACTTGGACATATCCTGCCGCCAAGGACGCCGGGGATCCTTCGAAGTGGCCATCGACGGGCAGCTGGTTCACTCGAAACTTTCCTGCCTGGCATTTCCACAGCATCAGAGTGTCCTGACCCAAGTTCAGCGGGCCGAGCGAGGAGAACCCGTGGAAAAGGTCATAGAGCAGCCCATCAAGGACTGCAGTGTAATGTGATGGTCCCAAAGAACTGAGTTACTTAAATCCTTAGATTATTAAAATATGTTAAATTCAATGTTACACGAACGAATCTTTAAAAAAACGTCGGTTCTTACACTTTATTTGGACAAAAAATAGGACTACAAAAAAAGGTGATCCAGGGGGTCCACATCTTTTACCGCCTGTAGCGATATCGCTTGAAATGGAACCACAGCTGGAAGATGTTGTTGTGGAACTGACAGCGGAATCCCCGCTTGTAGCTGAACTCCCACTCCCGATTGACGATCTTGAAGGCTATATCCTCGTACGGCGGTCCCGTGTGGAACCTCAAAACGGCAAAGTCACCGTTGTCAGCGCAGGGAGTGAGGAAGTACTGCGGCGTTTGCGACTTGTCCATCAGATCCGGATAGAATATGTTGAACTTGTAGCCCTGCACGATTTTGGGCGGCGGATTGTCCATGTCGTAATGCGTCTGGTTGTACTTGTTCCACTCGAATCCAGTGTGCACGCGATTGAAGTAGCGCGGCTTGCGAGGACGGTACTTATCGGTGGCCAGCTGGGGCACTGCATCCAAAGTGGTCTCCACACTGAACTCCGCCTCGTCGCCCTGCATTCCCTGCCTCGCTTCATTGCGCATGCGCAGCTCCTGTGGCGTCAGCTGATTGGCGTCCACGCGTTCCGGGTGCAAAATGAGCAGTCGTTGTCGGTGGGTTCGCCGCTCGTCATCCTCCTCCTCGTAGAGGGCACCCTCTGCCTCCGTGTCATCGTCGTCTTCGTTTTGCACTCTTCTCCCTGTGAAATCCTCCTCGCGTATGTAGCGTGGACTATAGTTTCCCGCCTGGTAGAGGCGCACTGCCTCGCGGAGTTCCTTGAGGGGATCCTCCTCCTCCTCATTGGGTACACCCTCCTCATCTTCGGGCTCCTCTGGTTCCTGCGTGTCCATCTCCTCTTCCTTGACTTGTGGTGGTGCCATCTCCTCCTGCAACGCTTCGTCGTCATTTTCCCGCTTGAGCAGCAGCAGCTTCTCCCGCAACAAGGCCTGATGACGATCCCGCAGTCGAGCTCTGGCCATGTGCGCCTTGAGTTGCGACAGCAAGCTCTCCCAGTAGCTGATGTCCACGCCATCCGCCCGCCCACTGATCTTGGCCTCGATGCGCTGCCGCATCTCCTCCAGCTGCTGAGCATTCTTGCCCCTGAAGATATCCGCCACATCCTTGACCACCGCCTGGTGGATGCCATCGCGGCGCTGATTCAGCGAGCTGCTCTCCGACTGCAGCTTCTGTTGTCGCTGCAGCTCGTCCTGCACAATGGTTATCATGTCGTTCCAAAAGTCTATGTGCTTGCCCTGCTCCAACTCTTCGTAAACCTTAATATCCACCAGAAGATCTTCCAGCTCCTCCATGGGCAGGCCATTCAGCAGGACATAGGGCTCGTGCATCTGCATTTCGAGGGATTCCTCGAGCGGAGCATTTCCAGCGGCAACATATTGAGCGAGGAGATCGATGGGCTTGGCTCTACCATCACGGATGCGGATTTCACTGCGCAGACGAGCTTGTTCCAGGTGAAACTGATCCTCCTGACGCTGCCATTCGCGAAACTGCACAGCCTCCTTGGCGCGCTGCTGCATCATGAGATCATCCTCGCGCACCTGCCTCTCCAGTTCCCTTTCTTGCCGACGTTTCTTAACTTTCTCCAGTTCCCGGCGGTTCTCCAATTGCTTTTGCAGCGAAAGAACCTCTACGGTTTTGCTGGAGAGATTAGAGAGTCCCTCCACCTCCAGCTTTTTGCCCCAGTGGAATGTGGAGGTGAGATTGGAGTCGCCGAAGGGGTTGTCTTCGTTTGAGTAGGTCTGGTATTCGTTGTCCCAGCCCATCCGCTCGCGTCGCCTCTGCTCCTTGGCCTGCTTCTCGCGTAGACGGCGAGCTCGCTTCTCCTCGGGCGTTTCCTGGGCTTTTAGTTCGTCCTTTTTCCGCTGGCGATCCTTTTGCTCGACAAGGCGACGAGCTTCAAGGGTTTGCAGCAACTTCATCGAACTCTTGGCTAGCGGAGAACGAGGACCACCGGGCGCGGATTCAGAACTTGAGGAGGAGGAGCTGCAGGAGGAAGACCTGTGCCTCCTGCTCTTGTGCTCCCGCTTCTTGTCCCGGCTCTTGTCCTTTTCGCTTCGACGGTCGCGCTCCTTATCCTTTTCCCTGCGATCACGCTCCTTATCTTTTTCCCTGCGATCACGCTCCTTTTCACGATCTCTATCCCTGTTCCGGCTGCTTTTGGAATCCGGACTGCGATGTTCCCGTCTTTCGCGACTTCGGCTGCGATGGCGGGATTTGGATTTTTCCTTGGGCATCCTTTAATAGGGATTTACGGGGTAAAAAACAGGAAACTTGTGAAATAAACACAACAATACAGCCGAACGATAGAGATGACACTTGCGGATGTTGATGGCACAAGGCGATTATCGAGAGACTGACAGCTGCGGATTTACCAGCACTACATTTTGAAGCCACTATTCACAAGGAAATCTGATTTTTAAATTTATTACCAAACAAACAAATTTTTTATGGTATTAGTAAGGTGGAGATAGAATCGAAGCAAGCATGAAAGAAATATATTTAATGGAAAATTCGATTAAGCACCGGGAGTAATCGATAAGTGCTGTCACATACAAGCCGATGCCAGTTTTGGGAACATCGATAATAACATCGATTTTTGTTCCAGCTCTAGCCTCCAAGCTGTTTATTTAGTCGTCTCGAATCTCAAAAAACCGTAAATCCAATAAATTAAACGCGATAGAATAGACGAAAACGGCTCGTTAGTTTGACAGCTAAGCTGTGAATCGACGTTCGATTTGTGCGGAAATACAAAGTGGCAGGTGAAACTCCCTCGCACATCACCCCTCTCGCTCACACGCCTCCTCCTGCGAGGGCAACAAAAAAAAAACACAAGGAAGAAGCGGTAGAGGTGTGCGCGAGATAAATTTACTGGCATGGGAAAAGGGAAGAAAGGAGACTGGAGAAAAATCAAAATCATAAGATTCATCCCTTTTTCTGCCACCTCTCTCTCACTTTCATCTCCTTTCTCCCATACTCCCCGTCAGCTGTGTTTCTCATTTCCCCATTGGTTTTTTTTGTGTGTTTGTTTCTGTGTTTTTTATACGGTTGTTTGGCCAGCTAACGGTATTCCGTAATAAATGTTATTGTTGTCAGCCCGTTTTTTGTTGTTGCAAAATATTGCGTGTTTCTCTGCTCCTCCCTTTCTCTTTCTTTTTTGCCCTGTCTCTTTCTGGCCAGTAGTTTATGCATAGCCGGGAAATCGTGATTTATTCTAGATCTCAAAAGTGATTAGAAACACAAACACACCGCAAAAAATGAATTTTTACAAACTGTTTAAGTGTCAAAGTGTGCTTATAATTAATTCAAGTTATTAACCTCAAAGAGTTGCTAAAACGGCATTTTAAAACTAAAAAAATAAATTAAAAAAACTGCCTTATCAAGTGCCTAAAAAACAATTCGGCAAAAATTGTGCTAATCAGTCATAATAATTAACTAAAAATAAAACAATTCCAAATAACTTAATATGAATTGCGATTTAGTTCGGATTTTTGTATAAACTATACACTATAAAAATTACTTTAAAAAACCTAAATTTGGACCATCTTAAGTAATTTATGTGAGTGTACTTCGTGCAAACTAAAGATGTTAATACAATTTCGAATGAGAAATGGTAATTAAAATCTTAATTTTTGCACTGCCACGCATAAACGCGTGTCTGTGTGTTTGCGACGTGGTGTATGTGTGTGTGTTGTTGCTCTTCTTCTTTTGCCACGCAGCGACATCGCCTCGAATTACCTTTGTTTTTTTGTTGGCATTTTTTGTCTGTGTTTAAGTTCCTGCATTTTGTTTTTATGTCGTGTTCCTTTTTTAGGCGTGTGTGAGAAAGCAACCAAAAATAGCCAATAATAACAATAACACTGCACTGCCATTGAGAGAGACCCCAAAATGAGAGCAAGAAAGTGAAGAGAGGAGAAAGAGAGAGCCGGTAAAACAGCAACAACAAAATTAAAACAGCTGAGTGTATCCTGTTAAAATTATTATTTACAAAAAAAGAAAAAAATTCATTTAAAACCCTAATATCTTAAAATATACATAACCGCAATTTTTCCCATTAATTAAACAGAAAAGTCTCCCAACAACAAACAAAACACAGACTCCTGGAAAACAATAAAAACCAAACGTTAAATGCACACGAAGACTTCAGTAAAACAATAAAAAACCAAAATCAATCAGTCAAATAGAATTAAGGGATACGCCAGGATAACGCTAAGCAAATCCACCATGTACCGCATCAGTCCAATTGGACGTAAATCGAACTTCCACTCGCGCGAGAAATGTCTGATTGGACTCGTCCTGGTAACGCTGTGCTTCCTCTGCTTCGGCGGCATCTTCCTGCTGCCTGACAACTTCGGCAGCGATCGCGTCCTGCGCGTTTACAAGCACTTCCAGAAGGCCGGTCCTGAGATCTTCATCCCGGCCCCGCCCCTCGCCGGCCACGCCCCCCATCGGGGCGAGGATCCACATTTCATTGGCGATCGTCAGCGTTTGGAGCAAAAGATCCGAGCGGAACTCGGCGATATCCTGGATGAACCACCAGCTGCGGGCGGTGGAGAACCAGGAGGAGAAGGAGGAGCTGGTCAATTCCAGGCTCTCGCCCAACAGGCACAAGCTCCTGCGCCGGTGGCCGCTCTAGCGGACCAGCAGGAGGATCCGGAGGAGGGGCAGCACGCCGCCATTCCCGTTCTGGCCGCTCCCGTTCAGGGAGACACTGCCGCCAGCCAGGCGGCCCATCCACAAAGTCCCGCCCAGCACAGCCAACAACAACTGCCGTTGGGCGGCGGCGGCAACGACCAGGCGGCGGACGCACTGGACGCCACGCTGGAGGAGCGACGACTAAAAATAAAAGAGGTAAGTGCTTCCCAAACTATAACCACCAAATACTAAATTAAACTGATAAGTTTTTAAGAAGGTTATAATATTATGATACAGTGAATAGTTTCTTATTTATTACATCAGTATTACAGCTTAACTTTACTTTAAACTTACTACGAATAGCAATATTCGGGTTGAATACCTCTTTAAACTGCCAACCAATGTAAATATAAATTTCTCTGGGGGTTATCGCACTGTCTCCTCAAGTCAGCTTGATTCCGCACTCTTTTTTTTTGTTGTTTTTGCTGCTTCTCCTTTTTTTCGTTGCTCTAATTTGTCATTTATTTATTTTTTTTCGGCCTGTGTATATTTTTTTTGCTACTCTGCAACGTGGGCAATTATCAGCATTCCGCTATTTGTGTTTCCTCTGCTGTCGAGTCGCATGCCCCCCAGACGTCGTGGTACCCCAACTAAACTTCCGCGACAATCACTGCCGACTAATTGTTTGTGGGGACGTCGGACAATTGCAAAAAGAATCCCGTCCCGAAAGCATTCCATGCCTGCCACTGGCTCTGAAGTGATTTTACAAACGGGGCTTATGCACTACATCACAAACAAGATAAAACCAAAATTGAAATGCATTCTTTAAAACCTTACTCACTATTTATATTTTTAAAAAAATAACTTATTTCTGACTGTAAAAAGTTCAAAACTGTTTCACTAAGGAGGGTAACACCATTTAGCTAATTTCTTCTTTAGCTAAGAACCCATTTTCCCCATTGACTTAACGCATTCATAAATTCCATAACCAATTTGCAAGTCCCTCAACTTAGTATATTTTATGCTTTCCAACGTGTCTAATTTTTTTGCCCCGTCTCGCTTTTGTTTCTACTTGATTCCACTGACCCAGAATCTCGGTTTCTGGCCTCAGGCGGTGAATAGAAAACAAAATCTGTGGACCCAATCATTAAAATAAGCAGGCAGCAGGCAACAAAACTAACATCTCAAAAGCGTTGGGGAACGCTGAGCAAAAAAAATTCTAAATGAGAATGAAAAAAATAAGAATCAAGCGCTGATCGTCGTCGGCATCATCATTTGCCGCCTTCGCTTTTGTTTCTTCGCTTTGGTGGCGAGTTCCACATGATCGTGATTCTCGTTCTAATTTATAGCTCTCGGAATATGGGGAAATAAGAATTTGCGCTCAGTAACAAGAGGCAAATCAATTGAACTGAAATTTCTTGTGAATATCGCTGAGTCTGACAACCTAACCTATTTTCCCAGTGTGGGTTTTGCTTTTAGTCAATTCCAATTAAGGTGAACTGCAACTGAGATTCGATCGGTGAACGAACCTCTGCGCCATTAATTTCCAGTTTCGCTTTCAACTTGGCGAGCAAATAAATAAAAGGTATCCAAATAAAATATTTCGCCTGTTGGCCTTGCCTCGGGGTGATCCCTCAGCTTTAATCGAGTTTTGGTTTTGTTTCATCTCGGTTTCTCCTTCTTCTCGTTTTGGCCACACGAAAATTGGATTGAAACTTGCTTTGCGTTTAAGAAACTGCCACGATTTGATCAGCGACTTTTGTGTATCAGTTAGATAAGTATCTTGTGGATCGATATGTCATTTAAGTTCTTTTAGTAAAAGATACACTTTTAGTATTTATATATTATTTGTAAAACTACATATTATCAAAGATTTAGATAACAAATTACAAAATATGATACAATATTTGTTCTTATGATTATTATAATAAAACCCAATCGCGATAAGTTTGAACCCATAATTGTGGCCCCTAAAAGTGCTCAAATTAAATCAATAAACCTGACAAAGGCTGACTGAAGCTCACACGATACAGACTTGATGTTACTGTAATGGCATTACGAATAGATGACATGCGACATGCAATTTTGTGCAATGGCCAAACGCCTGATGGAAATTTGAATTACTACTTAGTGTTCTTGGGTCGCTTATTGTCCGTCTCGCTCGCACCTAAACACGCTTGACAGCTTTTGACAACGGGCACTCACCGAACCATTTAAACAGGCATTAAAAACCCATCATCAGCTGGTTTGGGTTTGGACAATCTGTTCACTGACCATATAGAAGCATTTGTACAAAGTACGCATTAAACATTCCTAATTCAAAATATGGTTTTCAGGGCTAGTTGAGCATTAAGTTTCGTGTTGCAGTTGCAACAATTTAACTGTTTTATCGTGCGTAGATTTAATAATAAACGTACCATTGCACAAATTTCTATACTTGAGTTGCTGGGTGGAAAATTGGTTGCTTTAAATAGACGGAAAGTATAATGTGTGTTGGCTTTTCTTGTCCAGCATTTCAATATGGGCTTCAAGTACTATACAAACTGTCCTTGACCAAAAGTGAGACTACGAAACGAAGCATACAAATTTCCAACATTTCTATTCGTGCCACCAGTTGCTGTTCTTTGGGGCCGAAAATGGGGCTGGGGCCGTAGAACAATGTTGACCCATTTGGGTGAGGTCTCTTTTTGTTAATTTAGTCATCGCGTACATATTT